TATATATATATATATATATATATATATATATATACAAAAATTATACATACATATAGACTAGTAATTTTTTAACATATTGTTGACCGATCACTAAGAAATTTATGTTTTACTGGTCGAATATTGTTAGATGGTCTATTAATCATGTATTGAAAATGACAAACATTTGACTGAGGATAAGGACGCTGTCTTGTTGAACAAAACAATACATGTATTAACATATTATTATAATTTTCGGCTTTTATTTTTGTAATATATTTTTCTAGCTGGTTTATCGAAAAATCTATTAATCTTCGGCAATTGTGTCAAATTGCAAAGGGATTTATTATTTACGTAAGAAATTTCACTTTTTATGCGAATATCGCGTCTGATGCTCTTATGCATACACACAAAAAAGAAACAATAATGATGTGAACTGTATAATTAACAGTATTAAGGAAATATATACATGCACATGATTGCATTACATTCGTATTCTCGATCTGTTCAGTTTAAAAATTGTGGTCAGTAACCGAGTCTTTCTGCGAGTGATAGAACATTTTGTGTAAAAAGAAATTTGTTGTTATAAAAAAAATTGTATAATTCGTTTTTGCACGTATAATCGAACATTTGAAGAGCGTAAAAGTAGTATTCCATCGTCGGAGGAACACATTGATTTCTCGATGCGCTCTTGATTCTACGTTATCGACCGAGCGACTCGATCGAAAAGCTGCTTTTGGTGTTTTGGAGCATTTTGTGAGGAGCCGGTGCGCGCAGTCGCGACGCGAAAGATTGTCGCATGCCACTGCCCATATAAGGCAATTTCCCCACGTCCCTGGCAACGATTGGGCCGTGCGACGTCCGCGTCAATGACTAATTCCTCCCGCATGTTTCATGGTTCTGCGAATCGATTTTGCGCCGGTCGATCAGTCTTTATCGCATGCCTCGCACAATTCGCGTGGCACTTTTGCTCGTTTCGACGAGCCGATAAAATGCGAGACCGTGCCGCGTGATTCAACATATCGTGCGACCCGTCCGCCTTGTACGCGCGTTTTCAGCGAACAACGTCTCGAAGAGCTTGACGTTGAGCTTGCGATTTTTCACATGCGGTCACCGCTTATTGCAGAACGACGCACGCAGCCAACTCGGAATTTTTGACCAAGTGCAACGAGCGCGCTCCAATCAGCACGAGACGTGCGGCGCTGTGCGCGCAGGCGTAGGGATACAGGATCTCGCGAGGAGAGAGAGAGAGAGAGGAGCCTCCCTTCCCGTTTGTCTGTGAGCTAGCCGCGCGACCCTTTCGACTGGACACTGCGCCGCTATCCAGTTCAATCGAGATACTACGGAAAAGTGTCGGTTAAAGTGCTCGTTCACGTGACTCTGCTTACCGGCTTCCTACGAGAAATGGTAAATATTGTATTAGCCGCGAAAAGTTGGTGAAATGCCACGACAATGGGCGAGGCCACCCGGCATCCGTCGATTTTTTTGTGGTTATGGCCGCGAGCAGACGCGTCGGTCGCCATTTCTGCTTGAGGCCCGGCTTAGGAGAATACGCCTTCTTGCACCTACCTAGCATAGGCCTTTCGATCAGATCGCATGTTTTACCGTCCTCTCAGCCACGTATCACGTTCGCTCCGTTCTTTTTCGCCCAAGGCGGCTACGGCGGCGACTATTACGGCGCCTTCATCGTGCGATTCTAAGATGATTCATTTCTACTTTGGCGAGCCGGCCGAGTGATGACGACCGATATCGGCAGAGAATCACGTCACACGACCATGAGATCGCGTTTTTATGCCCGACAGTTTCCCTATTCCACTTGTATCATCTCGCTCTTTTACTTGATTTCAGAGTTGTTTTTCCTTTGATTTTTCGTCTTGACCTTTCCCTCATGGATAAGTTTCGTAAGAACATTAGCTGGGTTAACCAAATCGAAAATCTGTTGGTTTCATTTCTTTTTAGTTCTATCTACGGAGACTGACGATCGCATAAACTCCAATTCGCTCTAACGTTCGCTCACGAGAGGATGCACATTGAAATTGAGAACACGCATCGCGGTGTGATGTTTCCCTCGAACGTCGCGACGATCGTGTCTCGATAACATTCGCGGACGTAAAAGGTAACGGGCTTGCTGCGAAGGAACGCTCCATTTGTCGTTCGTAACGCCGCGTTTACAAGAGAGCCTCGAATCGAACGTATTTACTCGCACGTCTATTATCTGTCGTGTTGAGGAAAGCCCCTTACTTGTGGCACGCCCGAGTTCATTGTATATCTTTGTTCTCCAATTGTCACGTTCAACGTTGTCGTATTAACCATGTATTTAGTATCTCTCATTAACATGTATTTAGTATCTCTTTTCTTCACTGATGTAAGTCTCGAGAATTTATAACTCTCTAAGATTTATGTTATTATTTACTTCTTTTACTCATTTTATGCAAAAAAATGAATAGAGTTGAAAGTCCATCCTGTCGTTTACTCAATTTTATTACTTAATATTATTTTCATACAGTTATTTTGAGTCCCAATTCCGGCCGAGAGACACCGTTTTCTAAGATGGAGGAATCATTGTCTCAATTGGCAGATCATTGTTTTCGTCGTTCAAGTGAAAAGAAGGAAGAGCGTATTTGTTTCGGCCGGGATTTGCGTCGACTATTTTTCATTCGAATCCATTCGGTTTAGTTAGGTCCCATCAAGATCGTCCACGTCGGCACATTAAACGACTTCTCAGAGTGCATTGATTATATCAATTTTCATGCTGTTTCAACGAGACGACTCTGTTCCTCTTGGCGATATTGTGTCTGTCATGTCGAAAAAGAGAACAGAAAAAATAATAAAATTAATCAGAAATTCGATTTCGCGTTATCGGCTAGAAGAGTTAGAATCACATCAGGATACTCGAGAATACCCAACAATTTCCACTATCACATTTTCGTTCCTACGCCATCGAATAATCGAGCACTTATCTTGCAAAATGTACATGGATGTATCAACTAATTCTTTCAAATATTAATTAAATTCTACCTTTATTTTCTCTTTAAAACTGTAATAACACGCTATCGTATATACATGCTATAATTAAACAAGAGTTTTTATATATTATTGAGAATGTTGATTATACTTTAAAACACGTATCGAAAAAATACTTTCCGTTGGCAATAACTTTCTTTTATTACTAACAAAACTCAATCGGATATTGACTCTTGAGTCTCTTAATGTCCCTGTATATAACAGAATTGAATTTATTTGTTCGTTGACACAAGTTGTACAAAATGAGGTAAAAAAATTCCCATGTAAAAGTCACCGATGCAACAATGAAGTGTAAAAAAATCTACAAAATAACTAGGAGGCGAGTGAATTCGTGAATGATAAACGGAGTTTTCGCTTTGATATCGTGAAAAGTTGCACTACCATGTTCTTTTATCGAAACCACTTGCGGCTACATTCGCGCGGATATAAATAAAATCATGAGTCAAGCCGGAATCACTATCACGTCCGAATCATTAAATCGTTTGTGTGATTAAACGAGACCTTAACCTTGGAATACGTCCCAGCACGTTTTATTTTCCACGAGAAATTCATCTATACGAAGCAATAATGCTATGTAATGCATGCTCGATGTCAAACATATTATTAACACCTGGCTATATACTTGATCCACTAGAATTTCTAATCACATATCCTTTCTGAATACTTGTGTGTTGATCATTCAACGAAACTACAATACGTCAAATATCATCCAGAAAGTCATATGTAATAGAAGTGATATTTGAGATATTGTTTCTTTGAATAATCTTAATGCACGATTATGTAGATACGTGTGATTGAAAATGATTTGACGGATATTGATTTAATAGATATCAAGTTTTGTCACTTTATTTGAAAATCTTATGTTTCTTCCTACTACGATATCTCAAGGATAATAAGTCGTCGCGTAATAAAAGTAACTTGAATGCTAAGTAATTTTGTGAAATTTGTAGCAATGTGAAACGTTCACGTTTTGGTTTTTATCAATATTCCACTCTTCATGTCGATTATTTGGTCGAAATATTTACATGTATTCTTGGTAACAGCAACTCTCTTCGCGAAACTGCCTTCTCTTGCCGAGCTATTACCTTCCTTTCTTTAGTACTTCGCTCCTCGTCTCGAGGATGACAGTGAACTAGGAGAGCGGTACGTCGCGCCGTGCTGGTAAAGAGAGAAGGGGGGGGGGGGATTCAATGAGCCTGTAAGAAGGTCGGTTATTTTCTTGCGGGCCAGCGACTCTCGAAGTTCACTGACGTCTACGTTGCGACCTGGCGGCTGGTTGATTGAACCTCCCATCATTATGACGGTCTTTCTAGGAATGTCTCGTCCTTTTAAGCGTCAAAACGCCGAGGTTTCAAGCAAAGCTCAAAATTGTTGATTGTCAGATCTGCTTTCTCGGTTGTTATTTATTTCTTCTTCTACAAGCGTAAGTACGTCCAAAATGCGCGGCTAAAAGGAACGATTGTTTTATCGGTTGTTATATTGGTCGATGAATCATCTTTCGTTTGACCTTGTGCGCCTCGTGCGCACGAGAGGGGTACAACACGCCCTAAAAGAGGGAGGCCTCGGCATCATCCCTCTAACCGGCATCCCCTGTCACCGCCCGCCATCAGGATATCGACCCAAGAGTTGCATCCTCCGCTTTACGTTTACTGGCTGCCCTCCAACCGACGCGCTTTTCGCAGGAACAGCCTTTGCGATCCATGTTCGCTGATTTATCCGAAAACGCAATACATCGGCGTTATTTGAGCGCAGCCTTGTACCATCCATTATAAAAATATGCATTACATGAATCTTGGTTCGTCTGCGAAAGCTGCCGTCCCGGTCTACAATAGGTATCTGTATTTTAAGAAATTGACCAATCATACTTAATTATTCTTTTCACATTCGAACGATCAATTTCTTTCTTAAAACACCTATTGTGGAGTAACGAAACCGAATATCGCGATGCTCTTGGATCGCCCCCGTGTACACTTGGATCGTATTATCCGCATGACGAGTGACGAATGATGAAATGCGAATTATGCGGAAATTAAAGTCCACATGTTGTAATTTTCAAGAAATGTAGACGCTCGTATACGTGGTGATTTTATCTTTTCCTGTATTTATCGAAGAAAATAATTTGCAATCTAATGCGTTAGATCTTGTTACTACTATATAACATATTACGAAACAGAGGTTGAGAATCTCGGAAATATTTTTGACGTTAAAAGTCTCGCATCTTCCTCTCTGACATCTTGATTCGAAATGCTGTTTGGCGCATCTCGAAATTTCTGCGAAGCGTAGAAGCGAGAGGAAGAAGATCGCGTCGACTTCGTAGCACGCGCGACCGACGACCAGCGTATAACTTTAGAAGTGGATCGTCGGATCTCTTTTAGCTTCGGGGTTCGCGCGTGGGAAGAATTTATTTCAGTAACGTTGCCCTCCCCCCCCCNAGAAGAAGAGCGCACGATGTCGATTGCCGCCAACGTATTGTATCGTCATAGGAAAGAACATGCCAATTAACTTGGCCGGCGATACCTCAACATCCGGTTGCAACATGCTTTTCAATAATCATTAACCGTGCTGAGATTAATGCGACTTTTCCGTACGATTGTTCTTCGGCGCTAAGATATTAAGAAGGAGAAATTCACAGCTCTACAAATTCATACGTGGTAAAACAGAGTTCGGATTTGAAATTAAAATTTCGCGGTAATTAACCTCCCCTTCCCCAATTGAAGAAAAAAAGTATCTTGAAACCTATATGATGGGTATATTAAATAACCTCTTAAAAGCGGTTGAATCATCACTGTTTTTTACCATAATAATCCATGTTTGTCGATATTTCGTTTAGGCATCCGGAGTGACAGTCGCGGACGTTTGCAAGACAACATACGAGGAGATAAAGAAAGACAAGAAGCACCGATACGTGATCTTTTATATCAAAGATGAAAGGCAGATAGATGTCGAAGTCATCGGACCTCGCGATGCGGCTTATGACGCCTTCCTTGAGGATTTGCAGAAGGGCGGTAGCGGGGAGTGTCGCTATGGCCTGTTCGACTTTGAATATACTCATCAGTGTCAGGGTACTTCCGAGGTAAATTGTTTCGTCAAATGTTATTTTTCGCATCAAATCTTAAACACGCTTTTAACACCTGTGAATAAAAAGTAATTTTGAAAATAACAAACAAATAAAATCTTTTTAACAGGCATCCAAGAAACAGAAACTATTCTTAATGTCGTGGTGTCCTGACACGGCCAAAGTTAAGAAGAAGATGTTGTACTCGAGTTCTTTCGACGCTCTGAAAAAGTCGCTGGTCGGCGTACAAAAGTACATACAGGCGACGGATCTCTCGGAGGCTTCTGAGGAGGCTGTCGAGGAGAAGCTTCGAGCCACTGACAGGAATTAGGAGTATTCCAGCGAATCCAAACTACTATTACGAGATAAGAAAAAAAACAATTGAAATACAATACGCGGATTAACTTCTCAGACAAAAAGTAATGCTCTATACTGTCGTTACATCAAGGGTTCACGTTTTTACACATTTTTCACTTTTAAACGAGACCGATTATCAAGTATTTTGCGCTATATATGTTAGTAATCAGGAGAGCGTAAGCATTAGCAAAAGTGAATAGGAATAAAGAGAAAGAAAAAAAAGAATAACAAAGAGAGATGGACTTTCCTTTTCATACCGCAGACGTTATGTGAGAGAATCTGTCTGATATATTATAATTATATAAGGTAATTGTACACACATACGTATACACACACACACACACACACACACACACACACACACACACACACACACACACAAGAATACAAAATAATTTACTACCAGTCAAACAGTAAAAATGGAATTATATTTCTTCTCACAGACTGTACAATGTTTAAAAATTAAATTCATTTCATTATAAATAAAATTTCACAGTCCTATCAGAGTGAAACCTTTTCCTGATTTTTATATACTTATTGCGACTTGTTTGTGGACGAAAATTCGATTGAGAAATATGTGGTAAAATCGTATTTGAAAAACTTGTGTTATCGGTAATTCAGGTTTCAGTCGTTTTACGAGACAAAGCTGGAATAAAATGCCACATAAAGTCTGTCTGGCTGATAATACTGTTTTCTAATAGTAAAAAAAAAAGGATATACTCCCTTTTTAGTTATGCTAAAACTGATTGAAAAAAATTACAATTTAGGAGTATTCTTAAGAATGTGAACGAACATCTTCTGTAATACAAATTATTTCTATAATAATAATATGCAAACACGGTAGTCGTGTGATTAATTTTCAACATGACATGATGTTAAAAGTTTAACACGGAAAATAATGGCAAGTAAAAGCTCTATCGCAGGCATTAATGCACAAAATTCATATATTAATATACAATAGTTATACAATTATATAAGTAAATATATATGCTCCTAGCGACAGGTTCATGGTTCAAGCTCCGATATACTGATATCTGTCGGCAACAGCTATCATATACATGTAGATTAGGTCACTCTGAACAAAAATCTTTTATCATTTTGCAAATAATACGCAAACTTTTGAATTATTAATTAAAAGAGCTTTTATACGTGGCTATTTTTAATATTTTAATAATAAATGACTTAAAATTTTGTTAGTGTTGTATGCAAAATGTACAAGACTTTTTTTTCACATTGACTTAAACTACAAGTTTGTGACAGTTGACACGTCTTGCGCCAGACATCCTGTATAAATATAAGGTATCAAGAATCAACAATGGTTAACATCGTGAGGACGTAAAACAGATTGAGGTGAACAAAAAAATCTCTTCATCGGTGGCCGATTGTCTCCCTCGTTCGCCTCTGATAGCGTCCTTCCGGCTCACCGCTGTTTGCGTGGCGATCAGCTTTCCCCGGGACTATTAGCTTCGCTCCGTTCGCTGTCTTCGGCAGCTGAAATTTAGAAGTAACTTCGGCGTCCATTCTGGCGATTACTTGCTATTTCTAATATATGAAAGTTCACTTGGTGCTTCCTTTCGTCGGTCGTTATAATCGGCGCTCCGTCGATTGCCCATACTAATCCTCGTTGCTTCCGTCCTGCCGCACGGCACGTCCCAGCTACGGGTAATATTCACAAGATCGTGGACTACCAAATAAGGCTCCGCGCACAGAAGGTGCGATTGTGCATTAAAATGTTAATGATCCATGTTATTTAAAAAAAATACTGTATTAATTATTTTACTTTTTAATATTTAATATATATATATATCAAAATTTTACATAATATCGTTATATCATTATACCAATGATGCATGTAATAATGCAAATAATGAAGTATAAAATTGAAAAAAAGTATAAAACCATTAAGGCAGGAAATATAATAAAAAAGTTGTCAATTTATTATATAAATTTTCGATATTATTTTTGTGTAGGAAGTACAAAATTAAATATTTGTACAAAAAACTTCTCCGATAGACAGTTTTATATAATACTTTTTTCTACACTTTTTATCTGCAAATTGTTACATAGCTAAAACAACTTGTGTTTATAAAATTGAAAAGTGAAATGCAATGTTGTATTTAGTTACATATATTTAATTACAGTATTTTGGTACTTTTTTGTATCTTGATCTGCAACTAGTTATATTTTTCATTTCAATAACTATATCTGCAACCACGTCCGTTTTATCATATATCTAAACATTTTACATGCAATTTTGAAGATTTTATACATAATGGCTGCTTTCCAGTAAGAGACAGTCTTTATTGGTTAAATATCATCCAAAATATTATATCTAATGATGTCTGGCTAATAAAGTGACTGTGTGTTTCTTGCTGTACCTTTCTAACCTCTTTTCTCGTGTCATTTTGTCAATATTTATTTTATTATTATGTTTATTTTATGATCATCTATTAATTGTTCGAGTAAAAAGAGCGTTCAAGTAATTTTTACAAGTGTCATTTTGTATTGATATTGTATAGATATATTGATGTATCTTTTTATCTGAAGGTATAACGTAAAGAATTTTAGCTTGTTTTCTCGCTTCNNNGTAAAGAATTTTAGCTTGTTTTCTCGCTTCTGACGACATTAAACAAGAAGAATCATAGCGAGTAGTCTTAAATTCTGACCTGTAAATATTTTAAGTTAAACGAATGAATATTGAATAAATATTTGAATTGAGTACTTTATTCTTTTTTATTACATAATATCCAAATGAGATTGAAGAGGTTGTTACGGATTCCTCGGATAAGTTTCTTATATAGGAAAAGAAGCGAACCTTTTTATACATCAAATGTATATTTCATTTCATTTGTCAAATAATACACAGTTATCACACATGATAAAAAAAGTAAAAAAAAAAGAAAGAACATTCATAGCAAAAACTACTCACATTGATACTTAATATCAAATTATAAACAAATTACTTGGTACCTACAAACTTCAATATTTTTCAAAAGGACCCACATAGCAAAATGTATTCAATTTTACCTCATTTTGTATTCACAATAATCATAACGTGAGGACAAGAATAGATACAGGCCTATATGCTGCTCAGATTCATGTCATGATGTTACAAAAATATCTCATCCAATAACATTAATCATAATCAAGTCAAGAATATGCACACATTATTTGTATACATCTTGTGCTCATATGACATTAATCACGTAATGATCTTTAAAAGATATTAAGTTGGAGTTACAGTATGACATCACATGATGAAACGTGATTATCACGCATTTCTATCTGGAGATATTCTCATCTAGACCGTTTCGTTTGATGACTTTTAAGCATTTCTTTGAAAAAAAATTGCAAGACATGTAATTTCGAAGTTTTTTGTTTCATATTTAATTATGCTTTAAAACTATATACTTTTGTACGTTAACATCTTTGATAATAATCAAGTTAATTTCGCGCTGAACGCGAAAAGTTCCACGATGCCAGACGTAAGCTTTTGAAACTAAAACGACAAAAGAATTATGAAGTATAAACTTGTGGCTATCATTTTCACCACGAAGAAAAGTTTTAACATTTCGATTTTTTAGACTCTCAAAATAAAAAAAAAACCGACCAAAAATCGATTTTTTTTCGTGTTATTTTGTCAAAAATCAATTTTTACTCTCTATCGTGATAGGGCAGAAGTTTTCCACAAGTTTATAGCTTAATAATTTGTTCACCGTTTTGATCTGACAAGCTTACAACGTCCGAAATCGTAGCGATCCATCTTTTGCGTTCAATGCTTACAAAATTATTTGTAACTTTATTAATATTGAAGATATTAATGTGCAGAAATTATTGTTATTAAAATATAGATAATAAATATTGATATAAAACTTCAGAATTGTATGTCTCATAGTTTATAAAAAAAAAAATGTCTAAAAATCACCTACAAAACGATGTTTCAAATCGAGAATATCCTCTCTCAAGTTGAAAATCTCTTGCAAATCAACACTTAAAAAGACATTTTCACGTATTTTTGTGTTGATGTATTACACAATTTATTAACGTAGCAAAGCATTTGACGTCAATGAAAAAATCCCACAAGCACAAAAGCACATATTTGTAAGCTATCTTGAAATGCTCGTGTCAATGTAGAGTTCATACTTTGAGCATTTGTAAATTTTGCTATGATGACGATAATATAACTTGAAATGCGACAGAAAAGTTTAACAATATTTATTACTTTGACATAAAAACTTTGCGTCTCTCTTTCTTTCTGGTTTATTGAAAGTTCAAAATTCACGCTATCGTTCATCGATTTATTCAAAGAGATTTCGTACACATACGAATATATACATGCCATAATCCAATTCTAGAGAATTTCTGTTTACTATATACATGTACTAGAATAGACATTGTGTATATATCGTATGTGCTTAAATAACATATAAGCGCTGAAATTTATTTGGACACATTAGGATATGTATAATTAATGAGAATTAAGTTAAAAATTATATCGATTAATGATTAAAAATTATAATGTTATTACATAATTCGACTCAATTGATCACGTTATGTTTGAAATTACTTCCATAATTTTTCTAGTTTTATATTTTTTAGTTCAATTATAAACGACTGCGTTAAACGATTATGAAAATTGCAAGTTACAGAGAAAGACTTTTATAATAATAGTTTGATAAGAAGAAATTAACTAATGTGCAAGAACTGATTTCATTTACTAAAGTTTCATGTTAAATGCTGCTTCTATTACTGTTCGAGTTAGCATTTAAGAGAAAACAAAAGAACATAATTTGAACATACATAATAAGGATATACAATTTATCAATAATTTCATTTTCATTTAATCACAACGCAAAAATACTTGATATAATAATAATACGAATGTAAATTTAAAACAAATTTACTTAATGGAAAAGTATACACATATCAAAAGTTCTTATCGTCTATCAGCTGTTGGATCATACGCGTATATCTAGTAGATCATGTATTAAAGTAAAAAAATATAAAAATAAAATATAAAAGAATATAAAAATGTTAAAATATAACATCAGAATTAAAACCATAACTGATGTATATTCATTGTGCGTTACTACATTATAGAACATGGAATAACAAGTTCTATATCTTTTTTTAAAAAAATGAAAAATTTATGAATTGCGTTTTTGTGCATATGTTGCTATACATGTGCATATATACAGGGTGCCACATAAAATTTCGAGTTATCAATGATTGAAAATGGCTACGTATAGAGGCTTCTTTAAATGATACCTCAACAATTTGCGTGTTATTTGCAAAATTGGAACACAAGACTTTTTGGTTCCGAATGACAACTATTGTACCTAACAACAAGTTCAAAGGTCAAAGTTCAATATACTGATGTCAGTTTTTATTGATTTTGTCATAAAATGGTATAGGACTTTTTTTGTTCAACTCAATGAGCTCTACACCTCTACAAAGCGGGGATATTCAGCTCTGAGACACTCTGTATATGAACACATACGTAGAAATTTATACGCTTGAAGCATATTCTGCCATGTACCACACTATAAATACAGAATATCCGAAACTAATCTTGGTTCCCGTTGTGTGCAAGTAGAACGGGTGAAACCGATCAGAAAAGTCATATACCATTTTGCAAAATTTGCAATAGTTAGTGAGGAATTAATTATTTTGTCAGAGCTAATGAACGCACGGGAAAAGGTAGGACCAGACATTGTATAAAGAAAGAAATGGCTTATTTCTGAAGATCTCCCAGCAACGATGAGCATCAACCGATTTCTAAAGGCGGAGTAATGTGGCATGTGACACATTTCGATTGTGCGTCGAAAAGAAACACGCCTCTCGCTATCAATTGATACTTATTGTTACTAGGAGATTTTCAGAAGTCATTTTTTTATACAGCGTCTAAACTACCCCTTCCTGTGCGCTTATTAGTTCAGACAAAATAATTAATTTCTCACTATTGTGAATTTTGCAAAATGGCTTTTCTGCTCAGCAGTTTCACCAATTCTACTTGGACACCACAAGAACCGAGATTAGTTTGGGACACCCTGTATAATCTATGAATACAGAAATACATATTAATTAATGTAAATATATCAGTAAGAATATTATTTGCGCTTTTTAATCTAGAGATATTTTGTCTTAAAAAAAAAAAATAAGAAAAAAAATATATGTGCATATATACATTTGAAACTTTTCTGTATCTATTCAAATATATTTAAAGTGTGTATATATACACACATTCGTGTATGAGTTCTAAAGCATTTAATATGACGGTCGTAAATATCTCCAATGAAATGCTTTGCATGAAAAATTGTCTCAAAAGTTTTAGAGGCATGAAAGCAATCATAACATACAAATATTAGTTTAATCTGAAGTTGATGCGCTATCATCACATCACCTTAATTTTTTCTTAATAAATCCCTTTTTTTATATTGCACATTTTATTGCACACTCTTATAACTAATTTCAAGAAGTAATGTAATATGGATGGTTAAATTTTTTTTCGTTAAAAACTCCCTCGTTTATGAAACATCTTATTACAGAGTTTTCCACACAATGCTTTTTTGAGATATTTGCGATAGTTAAATTAAACGTTTCATTCAATATGTTTCATGATATGCAGTATAATGGAATAAATAAATATGTGTGTGTGTGTGTATATATATATATATATATATATATGCCTTATAAAGATATAAGAACGGAGTATTTCGCATTGAGATACAAATTAATTATTAATTCATAATAATTGATCCAAGATGTGTTTAGATTATTGTTAATGTTCTTTTTAAAAGAAACTGAATAACATCAATGTTAGACACATTGTCGAGTTATCATTAAAATTGTAGTTCATGAATAAACTATCATTCAACTGTAATTCTTTCAGTCTATTTTTGTCAAGAAAAAGGCTATTATACTGTCTAATGTATAATAGTCTATGTTCCAGTAAATAAAAGAAAGTTCAGACCGAGGTTTCCGAGTTTAGTCGCAGTAGAAACTTGTTTGATTTGGGATGCGCCAATTGTTCAGTAAGATTAAAGTGCGGTAATCTATGCGCTGTACACAGAAGCGCTACCTCGCCCTGTCTTAACTGAAATTCACAACCATTAGCGATCTGGCGCGAGGGTAGCTCTCCTTCACACACTAAGGCCCAATGATGCGACCGCTTTTGTCTCTCTTTCTCATTCGACAGCACCGGACTTGTGTTGAAAAATGGCTCTAAGAAGGCACGCGGCGCTGCATCCTGGGCTAAACAACGAGCAAGACGATTTAGAATGGATTCCACGGAGTGACGTGGTTGTTGGCGAGTGACTCGCAAGTACTTCTGCAGAGCTCTCGCCATTGAGGGGAACACAGCTTGCGCAGCTTCCATGGGATCCATCGGCCCGGGGTTCGGAGTGGACTCTACCTCGGAGTGCAAGCGTTTAATGTGCGCGAAGGCCTCTTCAGCGGCAGTGATTAACCTCGCCCGGCGTTTCCGCACTCGTCGCTCGTAATCATGTTCCTCGTAGAAGCGCTCATTGTGACTGGAGTCTCGACGACGTGCTTGAGCTGCTAGCACAGCCCTGTCGCCGCTACAACCGCGCGGCTGCATGGCGCCAGTCACTCCACCGTCGACCTCGTAGAACTTGAAGCTCGACTGTTTTCTGCCGGACTTCGAGACTGGTAATCTCTCCAAATACGGATTATAAATCGGAAACTCAGTATAATATCTCTCCAATACCCACACAGCTGCTCTCTGTATCGATAACTGACCGATTGCATAAGATCTCGACTCACCGTCCGGTGATCTGACCACCTGCAATGACGTCAATGAAATATGTGAGATTCAGAAAATGCCGAATGTTGTTGCAAAATATACCTTAAGATAGAATGTAGGTTGTAAATGACGAACTTCAATGAGCAGCACAGCAACATAGTGTATAAACAGTAGCGTATCAGCAAGGGTACCCGCATAATTTACTAAACTTTTGTACTCTGTTACTTCGCCATTGGCAGCAGTCTTAGCACTCTCGGTGACCTGCAAGCTCTCTTAAATATACACTTGTACATTTGTAAGTGAATAAATGATACTTGTCATTTCTGCACAAACCTGTACAACATAAAAAAGCCAATAAGTACAAATGCACAGTGTAGTGAGCAACAGCACTCCTGTTCTGAATAAAAATATACGCGGCATGGTGGCTGCTCTCGGACGCAGAAACACTGCCCAGCTACCGATGCCTAGTAGCACTAGTTTGAACGCTAATCCTAGCAATTGACCTTTGCATTCTGCATTACATGACAATAACTGCAACCTCTGTTGCATCGTCAGTACCGTTATCGGATCGGGAAAGAATCCCAGCTTAGGCAAGATAACCATGGCTATAGGACTAAGAAAGGCGCTTATTCCAAGTATCATTGCTACAATCGGGCCGACATAGCGATTACAACTGGAGCCAAATGTACCATCATTTTCATTCGGCCAATGGCTCACATCCTCGGTCGATTCTGACCTGTCCGAGGTATTACCAGTTACAGCTGTGGTATTCTCACCCCAATTTTCATCCTGTGGTAATATCTGTACTTCAATCACTTCTTGGCCTAAATTATCCACACTGTCTCCTCTTACATTCACAGTTGTTTGAAACGGAGCCATTTCGCTACCATCTAAGTTTTGCCTTTCTTTCCTCTGACTACGATTGCTCCTGTTACAGAAAACCAGTATTGATAAAATGTATCTCTTCGGATTTAAAAAGTTGTTGACAACTATGTTACTGATAGCCAGATATTTCCGAGAAATTGTCACAGTATGTTCACAATAGCTACCTAGCGGTGCGATGAGAGTGCTGCCTGTGATGCTGTTTCGAGCTGTGGGACCGATGATGCTTCTGGGAGCTTCTGCTATGGTGGCTATGGCTATGCTCACTAGCCCCAGACTTTACGCTCTCCGTCTCCATTCCCCAGCAAAGGCTACCGTCCACTCGCTACCCCATAAGAGCATACCCTCCTTTCAGCTTGAACAAACGGCAGACACATGTATGCGACGCAACGTAAAACAACGTGTTCGTCACTTGAGAGTTATCCGTCAGAATATATATTATCGTCGCGATTTCACGGAAGTACTGTCGCGTTGTCGCGTCGCAAGCACGTGCGCCCTTGACATTCCGCGAGAGATCCGTGAAAACTGATCGCACCGAGTAACGACGGTGGCCAAAGACCGCAACACTATCGTCGCAACAGGGGTAAAAAACTGACGCCGACACGCCTAACGTTTTATTATTTCCACCCCCTCCGTTCGGGCGACCGACTATCACATTCCATAGTAATTGTCGGCATTGAAAACACTGCGATGTCTAGGGAAATTTTATCATACAACGAATTTGAGGGAACAGATTGACCACTAATGCAATTGACCAACCAGCTGTAACTTGGTATTTTTCTAGGGTGCGTTCTTTTTGGACGCTCACGCGCTATAAGATGCTATTTCATGCAGCGAAAAAAAGTCAACGTATTTACCCCCACTTCGCAATGCAAAGCAGCGTTGAGAAGCTATCGCTGTTCGCCTGCTTCCTTTTCATGGAGCAAATATATATATACGTATGGATGTACAAACTTGTTCATTTGGGGATATTCCTAGAGTGTCCACAAATGTATATCTTATGGACATCTTATAAGGTCCAAAAAGATCCCGACCAGAAATGGACACAAAACGGATATCCATAGGATATCCTGTTCTATCTGGGAATATTCCCTCTATAGGCGCGTAATATTATTTAATATTAAATAATATTTGTGGAATATGAATAGATGATTACATGTCCACCCCTAATAATATTAAAAAAATAATATTACTTAATATTATTGTAATATTATATATTTTTTACATATTCAACTCTATGTACATATAATATATATATATATATATATATATATATATATAAAATTGTAGTTTTTTATTTCAAATATATCGCAATACCAATTATTTTATTATATAAATAAAATCAAAATAATTTTGTTTTATGTAATTTATGTAAAAATACGTTTTATATTAAAAAGGAAATATATATACAGAGTGGGGAAAAAAGGTCGGTATCTGTGGATATATATTTCCTTTTTANTTTTATAGAAAAATGTTTCAATATATACCGAATGTATGTTCAGTATACATTGTAATGCATATACACATTCTCCGTCATATAATTTTTCAGATTGTGTTGATGCAAAAAATTTATGATATTTATTAATTGAAGTTAAAAACCAAATACAGTTTCTAAAATATTATTTTTATCAATCAATAATTCTCTTTTTAAAATATTCTAATCTCACAATCTAATTTGAAACAGAATTTGATAAAAAAAAAACTTTTGTACCAATTTAATGTATTTAAAAACGTGTTATAAAAATAGTATTACAGAGAGACATTTGAAATGATTATTTATTTTTTGCTATAATTAAAATATACACTGTGTCATGGGTGAAACAGGCGAATAGTAATTAATAGTAACAAAATATCTGTATCATTTCCTTTAATTTTTACGCGCTGTTCTCTCTCTCTCTCTCTCTCTCTCTCTCTCTTTCTCTCTCTCTCCTGTTCAATATATATTTTCACACGCAGCAAATATGGTATACACAGTATACAGATTTAATTTCAAAGACATTATTAGTTTGGCTTAAAAAATGTATTCCCAAGGAGAGATATTTTACGTGACATTTTCAAGAAGATACTTCACGTTGTTAACTGACGTCTGTTTAATGTTTTAAGCCAAACCGCCGATGCCTTTGCGACGTCTGAGAAAGTTTTTTTTTTATTTGAATGTTTAAAGCTTCTTCAGCCTTGTGTATATAATTTCGATGTATCTAAATGTAGTCCCATTGTGTCATATCTACATTCTCTACTATTACATTATCCTCATTTTTCTATTTTCTCATAATTTCGCAAGTCGAAACCACAAGTTTCATTAATTGTCAAATTATCTAGAGCCTGTATCATCGTTTGATAACAGTCTTTTCGCGATATAAACAGCAGTCTTGGTACGATGAACAGGAACTGCTAACAGACAAAAATGCGGGAAAAAATGTGAATGTAGCTTAGATTATTCGTCATCTCTGGTCGCCGCCTTAAACATTCTGATAAACGCCGATAGCTCGAGAAAATCTTTGTTAATTTTCATTCATCATTCTCCCTCGATATATAATGTAATATGTTCATCTCTATTTCATCTATTTGCGCTGTATTCGTATCTTCGTTCATTCATTCCTCTTTTTTTTTCTTTTTTTTTTATACAAACCGAGCACACACAGACGACACGAGAGTGATGAAATTCCGTCTCTCAAGATAGATCTTATTGAAGACGAATTCATTGCCGGACAATTAACTATGGCAATAGATTTTTACTATGACACATTCAAGACAATGATAGTGGTATGATGCTGCGTAAATATCATATAAGTAATTAACGATTACACTTCAATGTTCTTCTTTCTTTCCTTTGTGACTACAGATACGCTGTTTCATCGAATGGCAGCTAAGAGTTTTTGATGATTGATTTGTCGACCATAAGTGATGCAGTCGCAAGGAGGAACGCAATACCTTCGACAGATCAAAACACGGAAAACACTGATAAACCCTAATACATTCGCGTGATACTGTGCTGCAAATAAGCATTTCAATCTGTCGAACTATTTCCTCGAAATGGTCGAGTCGTTTGCGTGCACTTCATGTATATACCCAGGACGTTCATATTTTAATTATATTCTTTTTTATATTTTTCTCTTTTTTTTGCATTTATCATCTAAATTCTAATTTTATAAATCCATAATAGTCATACACAGATACACATACATGTACATATGTACGTATGTGAACATTCCGTATATACATACATACATATAACATATACGTACATATTTCATTACTTACAATCTGAAGATAAGTTACAAGTTACAAGACTTATTAACTAGAAGAACTATTAACCATTATGATAAGCTGTATAGTTATAAGATTCAATTTTACGAGGAAGAAATATTTTTATGTAGAAATAGATCCCTTGGTCATTGAATGTTTTATTTTTGTAAGTCTATTATTTAATTATAACGTGCGGAGGTCAAAAAAAGGTATGTAAATAAGGCAATTTTTATGTTTTATCATATATGTTGTGTACATGCTATACACCATGAATTTTATTATTCGCATAAAGATAACACTACGCAAAGAAAAAGCTAAGCAAACTTGAGTAATGAGGGATAAACTTAAATTTCTAAAGAAAATTAGGAGTATTAAATTATTACTTATAAATGTTAGTCAATTAAACATCATGAATAACGAGAGCAGATACAAATGTGTGAAGTGCGTCTCCTCCTGTTCAAAACTTTTCCATAACAGGCATTAGAATTGGTTACAGTTTCGCAATTATACAAATTCTGCTTCATTTCATACAGCGAAAGATTCATTAAATTGAATAAAAGCTCTGTACGAAATATCATGTCGTTAGCTCTGTCATTTGTGTGGAAGAAAAGATCAAGTATATTTTTTACCCTCAAAGTATTCCATACATTTTTTAGCGTCCTACTGTACAAGGAAAAATATCAAGTATGTCCTCTTTCTACCTTCAAACATATTTGTTATATACTTCCCTTCAAAATTTTGTTCTGCAAAACCAAAATGATCGCCAATTTTAGTAATAAGTTTTCAGAGAAAAAGACATGATAACGAGCAACCAGTCCTTTCAATGTTGATCATGAATCAACTATAATGCAGAATGATTTCTGCTCAGTTAATTCATATCAAATATATTGTGCAGGACATTTTTTTTTTGCCTTTTTTAGCTTCCTCTCAATTACATACACGATATTCTGAATTTTAGTCGATAAGTTTTTTTATCTTTATGACACTCCCTGTAACCCCAAAAACAGCCTCAGTCTCGGACTGGATCATTTATAGACGCAATTAACCTAACTCTTTCTAGATGTGTTAAATCTTATCACCGGGTATAACGTGCATAGGATTCAATATACCTCCTTATGCTTAATACGGTTGATGTCTCTGAAACTGACGAGGCCCTGGACCATTGCCTCGTGGCTTAGGCTGTGCATATCCCATATTATCATAGCCATCATATCCAGCGTAATCGTAATTCGCATACATGTCTTCATATCCGCCATGGTAACCATTATAGTCGGGAATATATCCGTATCCACCACCATAACCATATCCATAACCAGGTGCCCAGAAGCCTTGACCTCTCGGATCCGGATTAACTTTTACTTTTTTCACATCGACTTCTTTACCATTTATCGTTTGTTTCGGTGTCTTCAGTAGTTTGTAAACTACTTCCTTTGAGTCAAACGTGATAAAGCAGAAGCCTTTCCGTTGATTCTTGATTTTGTCGAAAGGTGCTTGCAGCTCAACAATGGTGCCATACTGTCCGAAATATGTTTTGATATCATCATCCGTGATCTCAGGAGTGAGGCCACCTACGAAGATTTTACCGTGCTGGGGTTTCTTACTGACTCGTTTCGGATCTACCTGCATGACCATGAAACAATGTTATATAATTATCCCATTGTGCGTGCAATACACATATTATTTACAGTAATAGCAGAATCACTTTGTTAACTGAACAAAACACACAATTATTGAGTCTCTTTACTAGTATATGCTACAGGTGTTGTTCTTGTATAAACAAACACACATATGCACACAACAACATATTGCGACTGCAACAACGACTGCAAAATAAAAAAAGGAGAAAATTGCAAAAAAGTACAAAAAATAAGGTTAAAAACAGCAGATCTGTTCGTTTCTCCCTCTCTCATTGTTGTGCGTAAATAAGGTACTCCAATATGCATATGCAAAAAAAAAGAACACACTTAGACACTTAGAGGTAAAATAAAGTTTGATAAGATTCTTCTCCAACTTCTAACATTGACTTACTTTACGCTTATTGATATAATGCTCTCCAGATGCAAGCAGCTTGTCGATAGCCTTGGCATTAGTGAACACCATGAAGGCGAAACCACGTGAAATGCCGGTGTGTGGATCGATCTTGACAGTAATACTCTCGATTTCACCAAACTTGCTGAAATGATCGCGCAGTTCCTTATCTGTGGTATTGCGAGAGAGTCCACCGACGAAGAGCTTGCGTTCGTCGTCCTTGCCAGGGATACCGGCGGTTGCTTGTGGGTGTGAGGAGTGATGTTGGGACTGCTGCAAATGATGGTCCTGTTGTTGCATCTGCTGATTGCCTTGCGGACTTTGTTGGTCCTGCTGATCCATTTGGCCTTGATGACTCGAAGACTGCTCCTGATTCGATTGTGTCTCGCATTGCGCTTGATTTTGATAACCCTCTACCGCCGCCATCGTGTCCGCGCTTTCGCCGTATTAACGTCCACCGGACTGCTGTATCAGACACTAACCGTAAACGGTTCAATGAGCGCTTCTCTCTATCCTAATTGGCGACCGTCGCACGATCAGAAAGAAACGCTCTGCAATTCGGCCGTCTCACTTCGAGATGAATTCCGGAGCTGCTGGCTCCCTACCTCGTCGTGGCTGTGGCTTATCGAGACTAATGTATACGTATGTCGTACCGGCTTCGCCACACAAGAAAGGAAAGCAACGATAATTTCCGATTCCAGTATAGCCCGCGATATACGATCCGCGTGTTGATTCGCTGTTTCCGTATGGATACGCAATATCCGTTGAATCGGAGCCAATCCACGCACGGTGCCAGTGGCATTCAGTTGCTAGAGTAATGACGCCGGAAATTCCAGAACTCGTCGTCGTTTCAGCTCCTAATTCCTCAAAATTGTTCGCCACATATACGATCTCACGTGACTACGATCGCTGTTAAAAAAAAATTTATTAATTTCGCATTAACTTTTTCGATTCTTCGTAGCGACCGGCCGCAACATCGCCGGTAACACGCGACACGCGCAGAAGTAGAGTGCAATTAATATAAGGCCGGTATTCATAGGCCCCTTATTATGAACTTACGATAAAAGTACTTTTAATGTGGTTTCTCAGGCAATCGGCTAGTTTCTTAGCCGTCACTAAATTAAGCCACCTTTATCAATAAAGGCTTTCACACATGGATTGACGTAACTATAAGGCTGCTTCCCTATGCGGCGTAAGCGTAACTTGCGTCAGCCAATCAAATCCGCCGTGGTAATGGAGACAACGCAAATTACGCTCACGCAAGTTACGCCACATGGGGAGGCAGCCTTAGTCAATAAACGAACGTGTAGAATTGTTTAACCAATCGTAATAAAGCATACACATGCTGTAGCGCCATAAGTACGCTTTGAAATTGGTTGAACGATCAATACGTTCGTTCATTGGCTAATCCTTACGGTACATTTTATGGTATGGCAATCCATGTGTGGAGATCTTTAAGCACAGCTTATGTACTGCACTTTGTGATTGAACAGTCGTTCGCTTAGGTCTGTTCTATAATACGTAGTATGTCGTTGCGGATACCGAAGCATAGTTGACGAACACGGTTTTAAGCCTGTATTAAACTACGGGTTGGGGATTGAGATTGGCCAATCAGTACAAAGTTAACTGAATTCAAGTTTAGTAAAATTTAGCGAACTTTGCACTGATTGGTCAAATTTAAATCTCCAAATCGTAGCCTAATTAACTCAACCGACAGAGTCGCCAACATGGCAGTTCGTCATTAGAAGGAGAAGCTAATAGGAGAATGTGTTTCCTGGGAACAATAATGTTCCTAGCTAGTAACTTTAAAAAGTGAAACTCGTCCACGAGATGCAGCATCTGTTGCGAATAAAAGATTAGACTTTAATGAGAAGAAAAGAGCAGACTGCTGTCAACAACATGTATCGCTTGGTAAGCGCTTTATTCTGCAGATCCGGTGGACCATCATGTATTTTTGAACGCAACCCATGCGTTGGCACACGGGTGCGACAGCACACATCGGCTAGAGTTTTTCCGCTGGACCACCAATTAGAAAATTCTACATTAAATCAGCCAATTAGCGATGTGGGCTATCGGATCCCGGCCGTCGACATTCGGTAGACCTCGGTAATATTCGGCCACGTCGCTTCCCCACCATTTCTCTCCTCAATCGCTCGTGACTCGGATACCATTCTCTGAGCTAGTTCAGTTTGCGTTTGTTGCCCGTGAAGGATGCCTTCTGCCAACCCCAAACTAGAGAAACAGGCCTCTACGGAGACCGCGGAACCCATACGCCAAGCGATCGTCGTAATCGAGCACAAGATACGGAATCTCGAGAAGCGTAAGGTGAGGCAAACGGCGTGCGAACGAAAATATAATCTGTCAGTCACAGATTCTCTTCAGGCACCGTGCGATCCGCCATGATTCATGATGCGCCATGTGCTCGAAAATTTCTCGAGGTGTTGGCGATATGTTGCGATTGTTCGGTCGGCGTGCAAGTTATCCATGCACGTGGGCGCAGCGACACCGTGTTCCAACGCACGCTGTCCAGACAATCCTGGCGATGTCGAACGCGCCAATTTATAGTCGCCAACCTTGTATCATGGCGGTGTACCATGTACATGCACAAGACTTTCCTCTTTTACGTACGACGCGCTTTTCAACTGCCGTTGATTGAATAACAAACGTCGTCAACGCAACGACCGTCTTATTTGCCGCGAATAACGTTCATAATTTTGTATTGCAAAATCATCACGTTTCGTTTCTTTGTCCTTCGCTTTTGATAAACCGTGGCAAACGCTCATCGACGACGCCACGAAATCATTTCGCACTACCTTACAGCGCTCGTGCAAATATTCGCAAAGTTATGTTTTCCAAATCCGAGACGAGGTTATATATCATTGAAATAATTGGAGTTTATGCTGCATCGTGTATCGCGTCCTTGTTTCGCTCGAAACATGCAATATCAGCTTTGAGTTACAAAACATGAGAGTATATAAAACATGCGGTTTGTAATATTCATCTATTATAAAGTTTGAGTTCTAATATATACTTTATGAATTTAGGGTAGGCTAGAGTCGTACAGGGATCTGCAGAAGAACGGGAGAGAGCTGAACTCTGACCAAAAAACAGCAGTTGCCAAATATGATGAAGTGCTCCAGACCTTGGATATTACTCGGGACCTATACAAGCAAATTGTCGCTATCGCCAATGATGCGGTCAAACAGCAAAAGAAGTTGGCGCGAAAGGAAGCCCTTGAACGAATGCAACAGGATATCGCAAAAGTAAACATATATAAAATTTCATATGTATTTATATGTGAAATTCTTCAAATAAGTATTGAGACACTTGTAAAAGTGGCATTGTTTGCAGGTACGAGAAGTGCTCCTTATTCAAAACACCTTGACAAACATGGGTACTGATTCTGCTAAGGATGATTTCCTTAATGGCAAAAACGGTGCTATAAAGCTGTCGGAGGAAGAATTAAAGTGCCTGGACAGCTTTTGCAATGAAATAACGGCAAAACATCAACGCGAGGAAGGTGAGCCAACTTTCCTTCAGCAAGTTCAGAAAGTCGCGGAGCATTATATTGCGCTTATTGAGGGAAAGCAACGTGAAGTAGTTGGCACTACTTACAACAAGTTGAAGGACATCATTGCGAATATCAATCAGTGCGGCTATTTTGATCAGGTTCACGAATCCGAGACTGCACCTGCAGAAGAGGTAAGGTTCCTGGATTTTGTGTACGTACGGTATTATATATATATACACACAGGGTGTCCCAAACTTTCGGTTTCTGCGTACGGATGAAATTGAACAGAAAAGTCATGTACTATTTTGCAATAGTTAATGAGGGATTAATTATTTTGGGAAACGGTAGTTCGAACTCTGTATAAAGAAAAATGACGTAATTCTGAGGATCTCCTAGAAACGATGAGCATCAACTGATTTCTACAGGCGGAATAACGCAGTGAGGCGGCATGTGACAAAGACGCATTGTGCGTCGAAGAGAATCACGCCTCTCGCTATCATTAGTTGATACTCATCGTTGCCAGGAGATCTTCAGAAGTAAGCTAATATACTATCCTTTCTCGTGCGCTCATTAGTTCAGACAAAATAATTCCTCACTAACTTGCGAATTTTGCAAAATGCTTCTTCCGCTCAATTTCACCCGTTCTACTTGCACACCACGGGAACTGAGATTAGTTTGGGACGCCCTGTATATTATACGTACATGTATGCGCGTACATATATCGCATTTAACGCATGCATCTAATTGACTTGTGTTTGCGCAGGTTATCGAAGTTCTAGCTGAAACACAAATTACTGATGCGACAACGGCGCAGGAACAAGTGAATGAAGAATACAACAGCAACGACAGGCACATTCCACCGGAATCCATGATACCCATTCCAAATTTTCCCGTGCAAGTTGCCCCTCTTCCCGTTGTTTCCGGTGCCGCACCAGTCTCGGGACCTATTCCGGTTGTACCGCAACCTATACCGCCGCACCCAGCTGCCCCGGTCGATACTCCTTACTACACGAACGCTACCAACTTTGTTCCGCAGCAGCAACAACAACAACCACAGCAGAACCAACAATCTCAACAACAACCACCGCCAGCTCCTAGAATCAACGACGTTATAGGCACGCCGAACTTCTTCTTTTTGCAGGAGTCCGAGCTCGATTCGCCAGACGTCACGTCACAGGCACCTATCGTACCGCACATTCCTCCCGCAGTTAATGCGCCGATTCCATCGCAGACCTTCACGAACCAGAATTTCGCAAACGCACCTGTTGGCGTACCCCAGCAAGTTATATATCAGCACCAGCCGCCACAAGATATGTCACACATTCCCGGATTTGCAAATCCTAATCCACCACCGCCAATCCCGATGCCACCCTCTCATCAACAGTCGAACATGCAGTACAGTCCGCAGCATCCAACTGGTTTCCAACCGCAACAGTCACAGCAGCAGAATGGAGGACAGCAACTACCTCAACCAGGGCAGGCGCAAAACTTCGAACAGACGCCCCATCAACAACAGGAACCTCAAGCGTCCACTGAGGTGAGTCTAATTTCATCGGATATACACTAAGCTTGTTCATAGTCCGTTATTATATTTGAATATCGTCTGAAATACATCTTCAAATATTTCTTAACCAGTGAAATAATCTGTACGGCATCCACATATCGTTTTATTGGCTAAGAAGTTTTTGAAGATATATGTTTTAAGACTATCTTAAAGAACTAGGAAAAAATAATGTATTCAATCGAATCTGCTAGAACGCTCTTGGTTCTGTAATTACAATGCGATCTACAATGTCATCGTTTTATCGACGAGCCGCAAATATCTTTGCAGGAGAAAACTGAAAATGGTTCGAGTGAGACTAATGCCGTTATGGAAACAGAACTGGAACAACAAACTGAATCTGTGGACTGGTGCCAGATGACCGAAACTAATGATTGGAATCAATCCGATCAGCAACAACAATCTGCTCAAGATTCTCAACAAATATCACAACAACAAACATCTCAACAGACTTGGGCTGATCAACGTGGCGGATATAGAGGAAGGGGAGGCAGAAGAGGAACCTCAAACGGCTATAACGGTAGAGGCAGGGGTAATTACCAGCAAAATGGACGTGGAGGACAAGGTAAGAACGTGGATTTAAATTGTGTGAGATCTTAATGTGATATATTGTATCATGTTAGGTTTTTTTTAAGACTTTTTCTAAATGTCAATAATATATATATATATATATTGGACTTTTAACTCTTTCGGCGGATATTATATCGTATGGCGTTACTTTGGTTAGAACAATAAACACGATAGCACTTGTACGAGATATTCTCGTGTATTACGTCTTCTTGTGATAGAGCTAATTATAATTATATGAAAAGTTAATGACAAGATGAATAGTTGAAATATATGAAAAGTTAATGAAAAGATGCATACTTCATTTATCGACTAAAATCAACGCTTGGCCGTACTGATGGCTAAAGTCGATAATCGAGCCAAAAAGATTAATCAACATTTATACATGGGGTGGAGATACTTTATACAATCGTTTTGCAACAATTGTACATGTATTAATTTCGGAAAAACGTTAGCACAAATAAGAGTCATCAAAATAAAAGATTATAATATTGAAGAAGGCGAAGAAGAGAGATAAAGGTTTTTAGTCTAATAAAGAATTTTAATCTGGTGCCTATTCAGTTACACGAACTGAGATTTTTTTCCATACAATAATAATTAGCTAAATTATAAATTAGCGCGCATCTGTGTTCTAGTATATATAAAATAGAGTTGAATACTTCAAATAAATAAAATGAAAGAAATTATCTTAAAACTTACCAATATAGTCACTGATATAAGATTTATATAATTAATAAATAAGCGTTGTGTTTAAGAAATTGACATTAAAATTGTACACAGTAAAATATGAAAACAGTAATAACGATTGTAATCAACAGTCTCTGCACATTTAGCTTGCATGAACTTTTTTGTCGACGAATTGTAACTTGCTGCTACTATTATATGTGTTATTATTCGTTTTTCTTTGTTCCATTAGGCACATATTATCGCAACGACAGTAATTACCAAAATGGATATCAACAACGTTCTTGGGTGAACAATGACGGAAATAATGGATACAATAGTGGTTTCAAGCGTGGTGGACCCAGGGGAGGTCCACGAAGCGAGCGTGGCATAGATCGAGGTGGTCGTGGGCAATTCCGTGGCCAAAGAGGGGGTAATCGAGGCGGATATGCCCCACGTGGCAAGCCCCATACGCAACAATAAACGAGAAAAGGAAAAGAGGAGGACGTATAAATGCACAGTGAAATATTATATAACGATGTTCTTACGATTCAACTGTCTGTTTACGAAAAAGCTTAAGTCGAAATAATGCATTTGCAATACGAAGTGAGACTTCAAGTTTAGGTACCGTGCAGTATCGCGTGCATGAGTATTATATATAATAACTTTGATATTAAACAAACGATCTTTAAGTGAGATATGTAGTTTTTGTAATATACAGAAAGATCTGTATAACGTGTTTTTTATCTATTACATATATTCACACGTTGCATTAAATAATTTCACGGGAATAAAGTTGATTAGTTATAAAACGAGACATAGTTTTGCATCTGATGCAACACCTACGTATGTCCTACGCGATGTTAATATGAAAAAAAAAGAAAAAAAAATTTGACGAACCCCCTCAAACACGTGTGCTAATATTTGCTTGCGGCTTAGGATATTTCTTAAATATGACATTGAACAAATGAAACTTTTGCATTTGAATTTAGTATCTTCAATCATGAGGATTAAAGTTGATACAAAGATGACGCAGAAAGGGAACATTGTGATATAAACGGAGCTGTACCAAATTCAGAAGTGTGAACCTACCATTGCAAGTATTATTGTGTTGTGACAGAAGGCAGGTTTCACAGGGCAACAACAGCTAATCTGTAAAGATTAGAAGAAATATATATATAATAATTTTATTATAAAAAAAATAAAAAAAAAAGAGAACTCTCACCTAACAAACATTTCACGCAAAGACAAACAAAACGTATTTAAAGAGTAACGTTAAGATTACAAGTATATAGGCGATCTGCACGACCATCTCTTCGTCTTGCGGCGCATCGTTCCAGAGAGAATTTTCTAAAATACCAGAAAAAAGAGGATACAAGCGAGCAATGCCTTCTACTGCTAAATATTATATCTTCTTGATTTCATATCCCGATCTGCTAAGTAGTGGTTATATAATTTTTCTTTAAAAGCGAAAACGTGAAAAATGGAGAGTTGCACGTGAACTTAACTACCTTAGTGTGATCATGGAACTTTTCACATTTCCGCTTTTAGGTAAAAGTTACGTGATCGCCATTCTTATTGGCGTATGAATTGGAGAGGCTTAACGAGATAGATGGTTAACAAATTTATCGTGAGATTTAAGTAGTTCAAGAGTTGTAAATGATTCACGGATATGTAAATTCTGTAAAAGGCATTTTTCACATAGTGTAATATGTGTTGTGACACCGTATACATTATTTATGTGTCGCTCCCGCTTCTGTTTTTTCTGCGTGATTCCAAAAATTCTTCACGGTCGTCGCCCATGCAATTGGCCAAACGAAAGAGATCGCGGTGCAATGTCCTCGTTTAACGATGCGATGCATTACCTGATTTTTTGTATTACGAAACAAAAAAGAATAAGAGGAAATGAATGATTATTTTTAAAACCGAGGAAGCGACAGGCGCGCGGAGCTTTAGAATAAGTCAAGTTCGGTGTATAATTACTAGAGAGAGAGAGAGAGAGAGATTGATTGATTGATTGATTGAAAGAAAGATTGAAAGAGAGAGAGAGAGAGAGAGAAAGAGAGAGAAAGAAAGAAAGAGTATACGCTTTTCACAGCGTATTGCCGAATAAGTCACGCTCCACACCGCTAAACACGTGATGAAGAGTACTATTTAATTGTATCTCGTTTGTACATTTGTGTTTAATCACTCCCCTCTTCTCCCTCTTCCCGTCTAAAATTATGTTAAATTATCCTATAAAACTACTTATGTATCTTCCAAATAAAGATCTAATTGATCCCTGCTAATCTGGTCTATACTTATGTTTAATACGGTAATGATGGATTGTTCTCGTTTCTTTAAGATAGCTATTCAAATAAAAACAATCGAGCACCGTTTATGTAACAAATATTAATAGTAGAACGTGTGAGATCATTATTAGTACCTTAATAATTGACGTTGCGCGTTTAATAATACATTACATCGCTATTGCATCTCGTAAGTAATCAAAATTATAGATATTTTTAATTTAACACATGTATATCACATATTTTAATGACAATTTGTATATATAGCTTTATTTTTACGTGATTTTTTACAATATATATGAACGCAAAATCGGCAGTTATCAATTTACGTTTCGGCAATAATTAGTTTTTTATATCGAAATATTTACAATATTTGAATGAATCTTGAGAACATAAAATACGAATTCATATTTATGGTCTATTTTATGGACTTTTATTTAGCTGCGTGAAGCAATATCGTATTCATATATGAAATAAATATGGAATACTTTTAGAGATCCATGATTTAATTATCAAGTGATTATGGGGGTTCGCCCAAATCGAATCGTTCCACTAAACACCTACGCCTATTCTTTGCGTTGTAATTAGCTTTATAATTAGCTTTCTAAGGGAAAATTCATGGAGAGGGGGTCTCGTTAGGACCCAATTGACCACATTTCTATCGACTACGGGCTATACCGATTGATCGACACTAGAAAAACGACAAATCACTACTTTTAAATGGGTGAGCCTTGAAGTTTACTTGTTGTTTTAAAAGTACCTACGAAAGGATCGACACAGTGTCAACACGACTCACTTGTGCCGACAATGTATCGCAGTGAACTTGTTAAAAAACGTTCAAAAACGTAGTTACCGTTCGATAGCTGTTTTTTACCATTTGTCCACCGTTTCTTTGTCAGCTTTACCATTTGTCAGCCGTTTTATCGTGAGAGAGTGAGCGGTGAGGGTGGACCTGATGCTCGAACTGGTGCTGTGGGCCGCTGAAGATACGAGGGGTGATCAAAAAATAACGAGACTTTTTTAATTTCCCGGGCTACATTCATCCGATTGGCAAAATTTTTTTTTTCTTAGGTGGCTGCACTTGCATGGATATTGTATGTGCATTGGCAGCCATATTGAATGTTTATTCTGCCATCAGTTGTCAGTGAAGTTATACATGTTTAGTGTGCTCTTCGATTTTTCACTTACGGAAAAAATGGAGCAGAGAATTTGTATCAAATTTTGCTATAAGAATGGAATAAACTGCACTAAAGTTCTTGAAATGTTAAATGTTGCTTATGGTGATTCGGCTATGAGTCGAGCAAGAGTTTTTGAGTGGTATAACTGTTTTAAAAATGGACGGGAAGACGTTGAAGATTACGAGCGCCCTGGGCGTCCTCGCAGGTCAATAACGAACAATAACGTCGAAGAAGTGCAAAAAATGATTATTAACGATCGTCGAATTACTATTAGAGAGGTTGCTGAGGATGTCGGTATGGCTTATGTCAATCAATTTTTACGGATGTTTTACACGTGTGTCCGCAAAGTTTGTTCCGAAAGTGCTGAATTTTGACCCAAAAAAATATCGCCAAGACATCGCTCAAGATTTACTGAATAAAGTGAATAATGATTCTACATTGCTCGAGCGAATCATAACAGGTGGTGAATAGTGGGTTTATGGATATGACGTCGAAACTAAGGCTCAATCGTCCACCTGGAAGCATTCAACGTCACCAAGAGCGAAAAAAGCACGACAAGTTCGATCAAACGTGAAGGTTTTGCTCACTGTGTTTTTCGATTTCAACGGTGTAGTGCATTATGAATTCTTACCTAAAGGTCAAACGGTTAATAAAATATATTACTTCGGAGTTTTACGTCGTTTGCGTGAAGCAATTCGACAAAAACGACCAATTTTGTGGCAAAATCAGTCATGGCCACTGCACCATAATAATGCACCTGCTCATGCCTCAATGCTTGTTCGTGAGTTTTTGGCCAAGCACAACACCGTATTGATGCCACAACCAGCGTATTCACCGGATATGGCCCCCTGTGACTTCTTTCTATTCCCAAAACTGAAGAAACCCATGAAAGGAAGACGTTTTGACAACATTGATGACATAAAAGCAGAATCGGTGAAGCAGCTGAAAGCCATACCAACAAGTGAATTTCAAAAGTGCTTTCAAAATTGGAAAAAGCGCTGGCATAAGTGCATTATATCCGAGGGGGACTACTTTGAAGAGGACAACATTCATATTGACGAATAAATAAATATTATTAAAAAAAAACAAAAAGTCTCATTATTTTTTGATCACCCCTCGTATATCGACCGCTGGAGGGGATAACGACGGTCGGTAATACATGTTATCACGATTTTCATCTTTTGGCATTGGCATTGATTGTGTCCGGTCGTATCAACACAGCTACAGTTCTGTTGAAAGACATTAGTCGTCGATTGTGTGAACAAGACTTCCAACCTAAGGGTTGAAATTAACCGTCGTATTAGCACGGCCTCTACTAAGCAGATCGAACCGTAAACACATATTCATCATGCCCTGATATCCTTCACAGAACTATTACTGACACTACACAGACTAACAACGAGACGACAAGATTTCCGCCGCTCGAGAAATATACACTAAATGTCACTGCTATATTTGCGAGCGTTCTGAGTTGATCAATAGCTATTTAAAATAAAGACGGGTCTAGCCTAGAAAAAAAGGAAAAGTTTAATTTTTCTCTCTACATATCTCTGGCGTACAAACCACGGAAATCCCGGCGAGTCACACCGGGTTATGCGGAAGGGTAATTCGTTTTATATACTTTATAGTTTTTAAATTTTTGCTGGAAATTACATATTTGACTTATCTTCAAAGGATTGATTCAACCCTAGAACGTTTAAATTAATACATAAAGACAGATTCGCTGTTTCTTGTTTCGGAGGTTGCTTTGTCATATCGTATTATCATCTTAATATTATCACTTGATAAAACACGTTAAATTTTTTAATAACATATGCGTAAAGTATAATACAATATACGCTTATTTTGTATGATTTCAGAATTAAAAAAATAAAATACCCCATTTAAAAATAGAATAACGAAGGCTTCGGATTGAGACGGGAAAACAAAGGGGGGAAGGAAGGGAGGGAGGGAGGGAGAGGGAGAGAGAGAGAGAGATTACATTCTATAACTAGTAATATATTTCATTAAAATAATTAAATTATGGAGACAAAGTAATAATACGGATTATTAATTATTACATAAACAAAAAGCAATTATATTTGTAAAAATGATATATTTATTAAAAAATATCGAAAAGGGACAGAAACATTTTGAAGAGAGATATACATACATATATATATATATATATATATATATGTATTTATATAAATTTCCTATTTCCTCCCCAGACCGTTCTGTCTAATCTATATATACAGTTTCTTATTACGTGTAATTTCATTCGAACGTTACCATGCAATTTAAAATTATAGTGCAGAATTAATGCATAAAAGTTACTTCCACGTTAGACTATATATTTAGGTCCGCAATTCTTTATTGGTGTTAATCTCAGGCCTTTAGACAACATTTGAGCTTCAAGGTCACGATCTTCGTCCTGATACCTAAGAAGAAAATAAATATTAATGAGGAAAATACACGTTGAAATTTGCGTATAATTATCGCACAATTCATTAAAACTGCATAGTTGTGTTCATAATATTTGACCTTGTCCTGACTTTGGCGATGCAATCCAAAGTCAAACTGATAAGACCAGTAAATAGATCGTTTTAAACCCTATAACTTTCAGTTGAAACACTTTTCTGTAAAACTTATATTTTTTTCAGATTTTTCAGGGTTTCTATATTTTTTCCTTAGCCTGTCTATACATACATACATACATACATACATACATACATACATACATACGTATATATATACATATATATATATAATAGATTGCTGTAATATGTGTTTGTACACGTGTGCAAATAGACGTGTGAAAATAGATTGATATACATTACCTTTGTCGTTCTTCTTCTAATAGAGCAATTAGGGAATCCCTCTTTGCTACAATCTCCAACATTTCTGTCAAGATTTCTCCTTCTTTTTTTACATCATCACTAGTCTTCTTATCATCTGCAAAATAAAGCAATAAATTTTTTAACAATACATACTTAACAATTCAAGAAACGCGGTAGCGATTATATCAACAGTTGTATGACACTATATACACTTATAAGTATATACAGTGTATATAAGTATACCTAGTTCTATATAAAAATAATAAAAATAACTTTGAAATAACCTTGCATTATTGACTATAACAAAGTTAAGATCCTTACGTCCCCCTCGAAACCCTCTAACTTTTGTCTGAAATATTTTCCTATAAAATACATTGTTCAAGAGATATTTGAGGTCATTATTTAAAATGTGACATTATATTATTCTTTGCGTTTACCACATATACTGGTTTTTATATAATCATAAGATTAGATTTTTTGATCAATTATATTTATCTTTTATTCATAGAAAATATTGTATATTATAATGAACCAAAAAATTAGAGTATTTACCGTCATCAGCCAAGCGTTCACGTAGTTCTTGTTGCAATCGTTCATGACGATCTTCTAATTGTACTTCTTGTGCGCGCACTAAAAGCTCTTTTTCGTATCTACGTAGTTCAGTGCGTTCCTTCATAAGGTTGAACCATTCTCTGAGTAAATCTGCTTCATCACGATCGAAAGAATCTAAATAAAATTATTTGATGAGAGCATGCATATTTCTTCGTCATCTATATACATACATAACATATATATATATATATATATAATACAAAGTAGAATGGAAAAGAAAACTTTTCGCTCAGTTTATTTTACAACTATCTAATTTGTGCTACAAATACTGAAATAGGTCACTTTTATTGTCAGAAGTAATTTCTATATAACAAATTTAGCCGTATTATTTTATTCAATGGTAGCTGTATCAAGTCTTCAAAATTATTAAAAACATTAAAAAAAATTTTTTAAAAACGATAATTTAAATGACGACCATCATTTAAATATTATAGAAGACTTTTAATTAAAGAAAGAGTGGTTTCAACACACACACACACACACACACGCGCGCGCGCGCGCGCACGCACGCACGCACGCACGCACGCACGCACGCACACACACACACACACACACACACACACACACACACACACACACACACACACACACACACACACACACACACACACACACACACACACACACACACACACACACACACACACACACACACACACACACACACACACACACACACACACACACACACACACACACACACACACACACACACACACACACACACACACACACACACACACACACACACACACACACACACACACACACACACACACACACACACACACACACACACACACACACACACACACACACACACACACACACACACACACACACACACACACACACACACACACACACACACACACACACACACACACACACACACACACACACACACACACACACACACACACACACACACACACACACACACACACACACACACACACACACACACACACACACACACACACACACACACACACACACACACACACACACACACACACACACACACACACACACACACACACACACACACACACACACACACACACACACACACACACACACACACACACACACACACACACACACACACACACACACACACACACACACACACACACACACGTTAAAAGAAGTAACGTAGATATACCTCCTTCACCACGCAGCGCTTTCTCGACACTTACTCCCCTGTTTTCCAATTCTTTCTGTTTCACTTCAGTCTCCTCTAATTTCCTTTGTATTTCTTGAGCCATCCGCAATCTTTAACATTAAAATGATAATATACTAAAGCTATGTTTTTGATAACATATGATATGTGTTTGAATAAATGTCCTTTAGAGAAAAGTATTACTAGTAATCACTGGGAAAAATACTAATGATTAACCACCAGATAGTACTTCATTTTTGGAGAAATAATACAAAGGATTTTTTGGAGAATTACTGCAGGAATTAGTCATTGCGATTATAAAAAATTGTTTGTAGTAAAAATTATGCCGAAATAAACAAGATGAAACAAACTAATGTTAGATCATTTTACTAAAAAAAAGGCTATTTTTATTTCTGTATTTTCTCAACTCATAATATGTCCCTCCGTGGTTTCGAAATGGTCACCCATTCATGTTTTAATCATGGTCAGCGTTGCTCAATGATCCAACAGGAACTTCTGATACTAAAGTGCCCTGACGATATCTTGAGGATCTATACTCATAATATATTTTTATATCTTTTAAAAAAAACATTTTAATGGCATAATGTTGGTAAATGCTGGAAACAACGCGAGAACAATTCATATACCACGAAAATTAATGCAATGTATATTGGCGAACCAGTGACGTTTTTATTGTTTTTGGATTTTTCAAATTCTATTATTAATCACTGCCACTAAGAGTCATAAAAACAAATAAAGATTGCTAAATGTATTTGTCTTCTTTTTATAAATCCCTCCCTCTACTACATAAATGGGATAACGAATTCTAAAATTAATTTTACTATGATGACTCATGTGAAACAGTATTAAAATATTAGGCTCAATGTATAGATTTTAAACACTAAATGTAATATTTCATATCAGTAATTAATTTCTGAAAAAAACTTCGCAGTAATTTATCACTAGAATTCTGTAGTAGATCTGTGATTATTACTGTCATTATCATTTAATTATTCTATATTATTAGTAACCTATTGTTGGCAAATTTGTGAAACTTATTTTTGGATTATTCTTCGTATATTCATATCTATCGCGAATTTTGTTTTCCTTATAAAGTTTAACTTATTATGTTGTTATTTATTAGTCGCTTTATATATATAACATATTTCTTACCTCTTTAATTGTGCTTGTCTGGCTACTTTTTTGCAAACCTTTGGTTTACGTTGAAATTTATTGTATTCTTCGGTTACGATTGCTTTTTGGGTACATGATGTAGATAAAGCAGTTGTTTCCATGTCATCGTCCGACAAACTGTCATCTATAAAAATATAAAATTATAATCAATTAGTTTTTATATTTCATAAATATGTTTAAAGTGCAAATATATATAATAGCTGAATTGAAATATATAGCTTTCTGGTGATATAAGGAGGTTATTATCATAAGGTTATCATTTTATGCCGTATTGATTTTATGTCAATTTTTACTTCTAGGCCACCGATAATTTATAGTAAATTTTCTTTATTAAACTACATGGTTTAAATACATTTTTAATTACATTTATTTAAATACATTTACAATCTATACTGATGGCTTGAACGACATGTGTGCCAATATTATTAATAAATTTTCAAAAATTTAAACGTTCCCGGAATATTTACCACTATATTTAATATTTTTGCTGCATATTGAGAATCGCTGAGAATCGCTTGTTTTCGTTTTGTATATCAATTACATCAATTATATACGTTCTATGTATACTGAAAAATTCATTTGGTGATACTCAGAGTGAACCACGCAACATGATCAGCTTAGTTTATTCTGCTGTTAATGGGCCGTCTTTGTTGTCTAGTATAACATTGTTCAACATGAACTTTAGAATGATCTTAATGCTCAGCTTGAACTATGTTGTACTAGACAAAAAAATTTTCAAGCTAATAGCAGAATAAACTGATCACGTCATCTTGTGTAACAAAATTTAGTAACTGTTACTAAATAATGGTGAAATATTGCAAACATTCGGCAACAGTTATGAAATAATTTGACTAGATAAAATAAATATATAATTTATTTATTTACTGCGTACGTTTAATAGGAGAAAAATCCGGCAGGTGCATTTGACACGTTGAACATTTTATCCTTTTACAAATAAATTAATGTAATAATTTTATCCTTTTACAAATATATTAATATAATTAATATAATAAATACATTAATATATTAATATAGTAATAATAATCCGTGAGTTACTTGTAAATGGATCCTAAAGGGCTCCCGAAGGATTGCTCCGCAATATATATTTCTATATTTACGTTATATTTATGTATAAAAATGATACGTGTCTTATATTTTTTTCTGTGCTTTCAGTATTTTGTCGCGACGTAATTTTAAATAATTGTTTTTTTATATGATCAGAATAAAATAATTTTTTTAACTAATTTATTTTTTACTAATTTCCATTTAATTAATGTTTTCTACTTTAAATTAACACGTTGACTGCCGCGCGCGTTTACAGTGAAATCTCCTTCAGGCCACGCGTACCGCTGTACAAAGCGTATTCTGCTGGGTATTCCCACCGATATTTTAAGAATGCGAATCGCTGGTTGTCGCAAGAATAATCTCTCGCTCCGTTTGTTTCCATGGTATCATGCTCGTTCATTTATTTTTGTTATGCAGATAAAAGTCGTCGAATGGGCAGATCAAAGACACGAGAGAATTTAAAGAAAACAACAACTTATTGTCCAAGTTGTCCCGACCAACCCTTTGTATAGAATGTTTTAAAGTTTTACATTCTACATAATTTTCTTAATAAACCATTTTCGTATTACTTTTATAACAATAGTTTATATTAATGAATATTCTATTATAAATTTAAGTTTATATTAATAAATATAGTTTATATTAATTATTCAATAGTTTTGTTACTTCCTCTGCGAAATGTCTTTTCAAACACATACGAATATCCTTCGCAAGTAGTCAAATAAGCGTCCCCAATACGGGTGACGCGGCCCGATCAGAAACTTTACTGTCACCCGAATATGGGTGACGTGGCAGTCAACGTGTTAAAGAATTATATTTTATTATAAATTTAAGATTCTTATTGTTAAAAAGTATATCAACATGTGATAGATCTGTGTGTAATTTATTAATTAAAACAATTTTATAAAATATCTGAATCTTCTAAAGATGTAGCAGCAAAAATATTATGTTTTATACCTGATACTTCATCAGTATGTGTGGAATAATTGATCGGTGGTGGTGGCACAGGTGGTAGATTTTCATTGAGAAAATTTTCGTTTAGGAAACTCTCGGACATGCTTTTAGGTCTCGTGTTGGATCCTGACGGTGCCATTTTATCAAGCTAGAAGAAATTTTAATCATAGCAGCTTTGTAAAAAGTAATTATGAATTTAGTCTCAAAATCAGAATTAACATAAAAACGTTATAAGAAACAGGAAATTAATATTTGATATAATCTAAGTAAGTAAGATATTATATGTAAAGAATCTTACACGCACATTTTCTCTGTTATATTTAGATTTTTTCGTAAGCAAAAATTTATTTACCTTTAGAGAATTATAAGTAAATCTAATTAAAGGACAATGTAAGCTAGAGGGCATATATATCTGTGCGAAGTGATTCATGTTACTGATTGCGCAAAACATTTTGACTCGAAGTATTTTACAGTCGAAAAATTAACAAAAAATATAAATTTTTAACGTAAAACGGTGCTATCTAAACTAATTAAAGGATTGATTTTAATGATCAAAAAGTCGATTTTTATTACATTGGGTGTGTAAATTAATTCTTTATTTTTAATCAATCATAATCTTTGCTTTAAATATCCCCCAGCCATTTGATTCAAAGCGTTAATTTTAAGATTTTAAATGCGATATATAGATATATGATGAAATGGACAACATAATCTCTCAAAATAATATCGATTGCCACCAACAAGCAGCATATTAGATACTGCAGTTTTTACTTTCCAATTAAAAAAAAAACGCTGCTGAGGCTGCAAATATGATTTGTTCAGTTTTGGGGAAAGACACTGTAACATGTAAAATTTGTAAGAAGTGGTACAAAAAATTTCGAAGTGATGTTTTCTCTCTTACTGACTGACTGAACATAACTTTGCAATAGCCAAGCTGGAAGTAAAGCCTGTATCACGTTATTATTGATACTAAAAAGCTCGTTTGCAAATAACAATGATAATTATAACTGTTCAGTATATTTACTTTTCCTTTTGTCCTTGAAGTTAGCCGGAACATCGATAGCTTGTCCTTCTGATTAGGTAGTGGATTGCTTTCTTTCTTGAAGAAAAAATCTGATACTGCTTGTATGATACTCTTTCTTCTTTCAGGGTCTTTCAACTTCGTCTTTTCTCTTTTCGTTATGCTATTGTTATCCGAGCTACCTGCGATATTTAACAATTCGTCCATTGATTTTGCATTAATCGACGGTAATTTTTCGAAGTTGCTTTGACCAATAGTGTTTTTCACATTGTCGGTGCTTTTGCTAGTTTGTAACTTCAGTCCCGAGTTATCCATCGCGCTAAAGCTGTACGGTCTGGTTTTTTCAATCGGTGACATCTTTCTCGTGTCCTCCACTGAGAGCTGCCGTCGTGTTGCTTTTATTCTCACTTCCCTGATTTTATCATCAGAATTTAACTTCCAATCTTCGTCATTTTTCATTTTCACCCATTCTCTGACATCCTGTTTGGACTTTTCAATAATCTTCTTTGCCTGTTCAGTCCTCAACTTTAATGGCATAATCGGAGTCTGGAATATATTTTCAATACTACCAGTTGCCGACTTCGCCATCTTCGATCGGTTTGGTTGATCGATCCTTATTGGAATTTCTTTTTTATCATGTTCTTTTTGATCATGTTGTCCGCAACAACGCGAGGAGGCTGGAGGAGTCGGTGACTTGTTCGCTTCTCCGAAAGTCGTATTATTTGAACTGTTTATGGAAGATTTTATAGAAGCAGGCACAAATTTGTTATCAATGGAATGGGACGACTTCATCAGTGATAGCGCCGTGGAGGAGGTCCTGGCAGCTCTTCGGGCTTTTTTCTCAGCTGATTTCTGTTTGTGAGCTTCAAGTTTATCCATTAGCAAGTCCTGGATAAGATTTTTTTGCTTTGACCTTTCTCTGGTTATCTCTTCGAGTTTCCTCGAAGTCGTTGGTGAATTTACATTATCATTTACAGCTGTTATTTCTTGACATTTATTTTCTTCAACGATCATTTCTGTGACACCTGCCTGCCCCAGGTTCTTCGAATTCTTTCGTTTCGACTTTCTTACATCAATCGAATCTTTCGCATTGCTAAACTCTGCAATTCTGGACTGTAATCTTTTTACGTATTCCATGTAATCTGGGTTGCTGCTGTCTGTTTTGATCAATTCTTCCCTTTTTTCTGCCGTTTCTCCAGAAACTATAGACATTTCAGGATTAATCGGACTGGCAAGCACAGTGACAACCTCACTGGTGGTTGTATCTTCCGCTAATTCGACCAATAACAGACTATCTTCCTCCATTGATTGGAGCAATTTCTTATTAAATGCTTCCACTAATTGCTCCTGTTTCGCATCTTCTTTGAACACATCCTCGAATTCTTTTCTAGCTTCGGTTTGCACTGGCGACGATTTTCTCACAAGTCCGTTTAGCTTATCCATCACATCTTCCATAGTGATAGGATCTATCTCAATTACGTTCGCATCTTTGAAGTTTTCTTCTTCTTCGTCGCCTAAAAAGTCATTTTCCAATTCCAACTTTGCTATCGGCGCGTCAACAACTGGTTTATTCAACGTGGGTATGTTCGTGGTTTTAACATTTACGAATTCAATATAGCCACGGTTTCTCAACATCGCGACATTGGAAGCGTCTTGAAGGCTATCATCCAGCAATGATTCATTATCTGTGTCCATATAATCAATATCCTCACCATTAGTCAATAATTTAGATGTAGCATTACACTCCCAATCAATTTTCTGGTCAGTCTTGGAACAATCGGGCTCCGTATCTTCCTCCTCGGCGATTTTAATATGGGCAGAAGGTAACTTCACCAAGGACGATAAATTATTTTTCCGTATGGTAATAAAATTAGGATCGATATTGAGCTCTACTACATCGCAGAGATCATCAGAGACTAAAACTTCTTCGTCGCGAGCCCATTCCGAAAATTCTGTCTCAGTAAAAACTGCGGTAGTAACGTCATTCTCTTCAGAGTCATCTTGTTTATTGGATGCTGTTGAATGTTCAGAACTACTGCAATTGCTCCTTTTAGTATCATCCCGAAGATTTAACCTCTCCATATTATTATTTATTGTTTCGAAATTATCTTGTGGTCGATCGAATAATCGACGGTCTTGCAGAAAAGAAACTTCGATAGAATCTGGTTCGAAGGTCTGACCATCATCAGGATCATAGATTTTGCATTGGTCGGCTCTATCATCCAATAGAAGATCACCATCAATGCTGTGAATCTGTAATCTAGGCGGAGGAAAATTTACAGTGACATGTTTACGGTTTTCAACTATTTCGTTCGAATCAGAGGAAGATAATGAATCACTATCTATTTCAGAATCGTCCGAACTGGCACTTTTATTTTTGCCGTTTTTGCTCCAATCCACTTCAGGGACGACAATCGATGTTTCGTGAAGTGGACTACGTGGTCTGTTCTCCTCCGAAATAATTTCTACGTTTTGAGAACTTTTCTTTTCTTCTATGCTATGCTTCATTAAGTTATTACTTCTGCTGTAAGTTTGATTCTCAGCTAACTTCCTATTTTTCATCGATTCACCGCAGATATTAGGTGCCGTTTTCGATTTCAAGATATTCGATTCCTTCACTAAATCAGGTAAATGCTGAGTCTTGGGCGTTTCCATCAGAGTTGTTGGCTTATATGTGACGTCATACGATGGATTTTGGTAACGATCATTGGATAACTGTCTTGAAAGTAAAATAGTAGGCGACAATGGAGATAGCGATGCATTGTTGGTTCGCAGCTTGCTGGTACCTTGAAAAAGAAAAAAAAATAAATAAATTATCAAACTCATAGTGTGAATCACAAAGAAAAAAATATAACATCAAGAAATTTTCCCATCTCCCATTTTTTTCACTACCTGAGTTATCTATACATTGAATCACAATATTTTTTGCTATCGACATATTGCATACTATTCTCCTCTGTTTACTTCTCTTTTTCTCCAGTCTCTCCAAATATATAAAAAGTGATGAAAAGACTCTCAAAGTATATAACCAAACAATATGACAAATAAGGCAAATAAAAGAATACTGTCCGGAATAATTTATTTGAACAGTAGATCAATATCATTTTCTCGCGAATATTTCAGTCCTTATCATTTAGACCCTATTCGGCACATATAATAAAAATATAAAAGGTAAAATTTAAGAAATTGAAGATTGAGTATGACAATAATGCATGGAGTGCTAACCGATACCGATGTAAGAATTAAAGTAAAAATAAGTTAAATATCAGAACAATTGTGTGTGTATATTGCCCTAAAATAAGAAGGAAATGGAAAATAAAATGATATAGTCAGTTTGTAAGGCAAATTAAATATATCTTACCAAGTAGGCATATATCCAGAGATCCAACATTGAAAAATTAGGCCGTTTTTAATCATGTGAACTTCCCACCTTTAGCTTTTGCCATGTAAATGACGTTATATATGCATTATTTGAAAAGTACATTTTTTCGACGTTAACATAACTGCATAACTGTAATGTACACGCGTGGTTTTGTTCATTTTTAATCCAAAGTGGAAAATCTCATATAATTTACTTATATGAGTTCGAAATACAGTAATATTATAACCGAGACAAATATAGCATCCGGTACTATCGGAGAACTAGATTTTAGTTTGACAAATTCAGGTCTGATAATACAGATTGAAAATTTGCCTCGCGGTCATCGATAATGATGCAATTTTGGAAGGTGTCATAAATTTATCTGTCTGACAATTTGAGAAATCGCTGAGAGAATAAAATTCATCAGTCAACAATTTCCTAACATCTAAAAGCTTTGAAAAAGATAAATAGACTAAACAACATCCTACATGAACTCACCAAGAGAGACACGATTAAAGCGTTTAGAGATAAGTTCTACTTTATTTTCCGGACATAATAATGAAAGAATTTTCGATAGAATTGTAGATGAAATGCGATGAAAAATGGATTATGTACGACGTTTTGTGCAGTGAATTGATGCGATATAAAACATACGCCGAAACCTAATCTTTATTCGCAATAGGTTTTGATACCTGTTGGGTGGTCAGCGAGAGATGTCGTAAAATTCCGTTTTAAAAATGTAAAACAATCAATGTTGCGACAAATACTATTAGAAAATTAACATTATGCACAAAAAACTGCGCATTCAGCAGCCAGTATTAACAGAGTTCTATAGCTTCACGACAATGCTTAACCATACATTGCAAAAAACTTACTTGAAAAAAATAAAACGTGAACTTCTCCTTCTTACTTTCCGGACCTTTCGCGAACAGACTGCTACTTAAGATTTTCGATTAAAGAAAAAAAAAGTATTCCAAAAAGGAAGGGGACATATATAATGTGCATTCAACGAGTTTATTGCCTCTCGTTCTCTCTATGAGAAAAGCATTAGTATTGTAAACTTGTATCGCGTTGAGAACGGTGTATTAATGGAAGCTATTAATAATGTATGTTTTAAGTTTGTGTAATAAATTAAATTAAAAATTGAAAAACAGCCATTTCACTTTTAACAACATGATATATCTGACTATTATCAGACAATTTTGCATCATAAAAATTCATACCTTGAAGAAACGCTTGCATCGTAGGGCTGGGTTCCGGCGCCGGATTCAGTAATTTCTGATGTTGTGAGATTGCGTCGGTAAAATTCCTCAGCTTCGTGTCCACATTAGATGTCGAACCTGATTTTACGACAGAGCCACTTAAACCTGACCCACCCAGCAAATAGCGTTTCTTCAGCTCCAAAGAAAGCCTTGAGGCAATTCCTTCAGTGGAGTGAGTACGATTCAACAGATAGTCTCCCTTCCGCGGATTAAACAATGGTATGGGATTGTTTGTATCAAAAGGTGCCTGCACGGTAGTATTGCAGTTCGCTTTTCTATTTGGCTCGTGTCGTTTGGTACAATTGTTTTGCAAAAATTCTTCGCCATTATCCTTTTGCTTCAGATTTTCATCAATTGAAGGAATTACGTTACTTTTCACCTGAACTCTCTTCGGTTCAACATAGGTGCCTCTTGTTTTTCGTACATAGGAGTCGTTTATGGCGATCTCAGGTATTTCGTGCTGAGTTGGAGTTGCTTCATCGTGTTCAAATTCAGAATCGGTCGAGATTTCCGTTGCGGAATTTTCTGCACTTTCCTCGGTCGTTGTATCTTCTGATGATGCGACCTGTCGAATAAATTCACCGTATTAAATGATCAGTTATTACACACATCAAATATAATTATAACAGCATACAAATTTTAATAAGTTTGTCTGTAGCATATGAGATATTTAGCTGCATCAATAAATACATAGTTCTCTTAAGCTACAAAACTATTTAGTAATATAGTAATGCGCGATGTAATGAAGAAAGTAATAAGAATAGTGATGGTATGTTTTATATAACATATATAGAATGTTCATATGTCCATATACAGGGTGAGTCACTTGATTTTAGAAGCTTAAATATATTAAAAATGAAGCAAAATGGGAAGAAATGTTCCGGACAAAAGTTATAGAATATAAAGTGGGTTATAAACATTCAAAACAAATATCTATAGCCATACAATCATACGGTTCTCTTGTGTATCTCGTGGGGCCAAGAAGGAATGTTTCACTATAAGCTATTACCATCGGGGCAAACGGTAGATTGCTACAGTCAACAATTATGGCGTTGAACCAAGTCATGAAGAGAAACGCCCTTGCGAATCGACGAATAAAGTCATTCTGCTTCATGACAGACCACATGTTGCAACTAAGAGATTCGATTGGGAAGTCCTGCCAGTATATTTTTCAGACATCGCCTTATCTGATTTTTATCTATTCAGACTGATGCAGCACGGTTTATCTAATACACGGTTCCGAAATGCTGGTGGTGTGCAAAAATGAATGAGTAATTTTATCGGCGCAGAATCAAAGTAGTGCCGAAAGATGGCAAAAGGTTATTGATAGTAATGGCTAATACTTTGATTAAAATATTATGTCATCTTATTTCTAAATAAAAATGGCTTTAAAAATGGCATACAAACTTTTGAAAGCGCTTAATAAAAATATAAATATAAAAAATATAAAAAATAAAACCTTGAAAAAATAAAATCTTGAAAATTGAGAACCGTAAGATCACCGAAAAAGTATTTCTTCCACTACTCTCATATTTCGATTCTCGAAACATAAAATGCCAAGAAAAAAAAAAAGATATTGTTAATACTGGATTTAGTAATATTCGAAAAAAATAACTTGTAATGCTATATGCCACGAAAACAAATAAACTGCGAATGCATATGTAATACAAATTGGGTTTGCCTAATGAATTTAAATGTCATAAATGGAAACAAAGTGAGACATTTAATAACATATTAGCTAGTGATAATCTTCGAACAGATTAGTTGATATTGGTAAGTAAAAGCAATACTTTAATATCAACACTAATAATTCGTGAACAATTACTTATTTGTAAGTGAGTGCGCACGCATGTTTGAGTCATTGTTAATTAGTTTAGTAGCACTCTAAATTACACATAATAAGATTTTTACCTTCTCCTTAGTGCTCGATCAGGTAATTAAAAATTGATCTTTGACAAGAACCTCAAGGTCAATCATCATTAACCAAAGTTTATATAATATAATTTTTTTTCGTTTTATTAATACATCTCACAGTTTCTTAAATTTAAAATTATAGTTGTAATACAACTGTAATTGTAGTTACACATAATAATTATTATACACATATGTTCATGATATCACGACATGATGTACATATGTGGCGTTAATCTGTTGAGCTGTGCTTCGTTTATACGAATTCAGATACTAAAAGAATATTTAACTTAACAAATCGTGCATAATATCATTAAATATAAAGTTATACAATATCAGCCAATTATATACTTATATAGTTGCACAATCTGTGTATATTTCCTACAATGATCAAGTTCATAAAGACATAAATTTTATACTACATCACACATGTTTATACGGATATAATAAAAGAGATATGAATTCACACAAGATATAGAGTTTACGCAAATATAAATCTGTAGAATTATGCAGGAGTGCCCAAATGTAACGCGACATTTTATATTTTTTGTAATTTGCAATTTTACTGAAAGTTGAAAATCTTAATACAAGTTGAACATCTTAATATAGAAATATTAAGATATCAATACTTTTCGATTTATGAACCAATATAAAGGGTCTTTTCGTGAACTAAATTTCAAAAAGCCAAATATTTAATAAAATTATATTTTTTAGCTATTTTATGTGCATATTTCATATTATAAATATACAATGCTAATTACAAATATACAATGGTAAAAATGAGAAAATTTTGATAATTTATGACCTTCCTCATCATCTTGTCTATTAAAATTTGGGTTCCCATGAAGCTCTAAAATATGTTATTAATAAAATATTATATAATATTTATTTGGGACACCTCATTTATATAATGACAATTTTACTTCGTTTATATACTCAATTTCAATTATTTTATTAATAAAAATTATTTTTATTACGCAAAATATCATATAGCTGTAAAGAGTTTCATTCTAACTAAGAACACGTTATTTAAGTTTATTCATTCATGATCGTGAATATATCATGAAATTTCAAAAGACTCGAGAATTAACTCAACTGTTCCTAAATCACATTCTTCTCTTTTAACTCACAATATTTTCTCGATTTTATCGGTAACAAATTAATTCTTGGCCTTTTTAAATAAAAAGTAACGTTTATTTATACAAACTCAGAATATACTTTAATCAACAAGGTAATCTTTAGCAGCATCTACATATTTTTGCTATCTTTCGGGTAGATGACGAATCCCTTCTCGGTAAAAGGACGCCGGTTTACAGCCAATAAGGTCGGTAATGATTTTTTCGACCTCTTTGAACGTACTGAAGTGGGAATCTGTTAAATATTGTTGGAGGGGCGGGGACAAGTGAATATCTGACGGGACTACTATATATATATCTCAATTATATAAATACTTAACTCTTTGCACTCGAGGGTTCCGGAGCGGAGCCATTTAAAATTTGTCTTCAAACTCAAGGGCTTTGCTATGGAGACAATACAAATAACTTTTAGTTCATAACATAAGGACAAAGACAAACTAATCGTAAAAACTATTGTGTATAGGATATTCCGCTCTTGCTATTTGCATTTGAGTTTGAAGAGTTTGAAGACAAATTTTAAATGGCTTCGCTCCGAAGCCCTCGAGTGTGCAAATGGTTAATATAAATTAATTAGGTATATTTAATTAAATATGAAGAATGAAGAAGCGTGTGACAACAAAGGCAGAAAGGATTGAAAGGAGAAGGAAAGCAGAAATTGATTGCCTCTTTAAAAATTGCTATATAAAATTAATATATGATATTACAGTGAGTAAAGTATACAGATGTGTAAGACAATATGTATTGTGTGAATTTTTTCTATAAAATATATCAACACTCTTCATTAAAAAAATTAAATTATACTATCAAAATTTTGTAATTTCCTAACAAAATAAACTTTAATGTTAATATAATTTTGAACTGTCGGAAAACATAGCAAACTTGAAGTGAACTTCATATGAAGCAGCTATAATTTTTTCTCCGTTTATATAATATTTAATTTTTAAATATAACTTTCATATTTTAAATATAACGTATCACTATCACGAAATAATGCATTTATCCTTTTTTGACTGCTTATTTTTAGATGTCAGTTTTACAGATTCTTCGAGTTTATCCGATAAATTCCTATTTGCAAGATGATACGTTTTTTTAATGGGTAGTACCTTCTGGTTTTGATGTAGTATTTTCGGAATACTTAAAATTTCCGAATTTTGAGTTTCCACAATAACTTTATTATCTTTTACAGTCTCATTATCAAAGCTTTCAAGACTTATGACGTGCTGATTTGGTGTTTTTGTAATATTTCGGTTTGGTGGCTTCAAAATATCTTTAGCATTGTGATTTTGTAGATGTTTAGAAACATCTATTCGTTGGTTTTCCAAAACATTTTTAATATTGCGATCTTCAAATTCTTCTAAATTAACACTCTGACCTTTAATATTTGGGTATTCTTCGAAATCATGCTTTTGAATGTTGGAAACATTATTGTTAGCCGGAGCATATAATTTTGTAATATTTCGACCAATTGAATTTTGTAGTTTCGATGTATTTCCAACATTTTGATTTCGATTTAAAAGTTCGGCATTTCTCTTCGCGACTTTTCTTCTAACTGGAATTTTAGGCAAAGTGGATTCTACATAAGAATTTGCCGTTGATATACAAGCCTCTGTGGAATAATTTTTCGGTGAAACGTTGATATCAAAAGACAAATGCTTCTGACCGATCTCGTCACGAACCTCTCCAATACAGTTTTGTGTTGAATTGTTCGTGACCTTTGCGTTTTCAATGTTCTTGGATGCATTTATTATTTTTACGATATCTGTAACAGTGGGTGCAATTTTATGTACCATGTTTCTCAACTCAAATAATGATTTTGAATTGTATCTAATGGCTTTACAATCAACCCATGGTGTACTTTTATTTAAATTCGTATCACTTTTACTTAAATTTGTATTACTTTTATATGACATATTGCATTTGACAGCATCATCCGTATTATTTTGTAACAATAAAGAAACTGACAATTCTGCATTAAGATGTATTTTATCTTTAAATGATAAATTTCGATTTAATTTCTTATATTTATCTTTGTCATCATTTGAATTTATTTTAACCGTGTCTTTTTTTGTTATACCACTTTCTACCATGTTATCATTTAATTTCACCTTAATTTCTTTATTTATATTCTTTATATCATCTTCCAAAGTGTTTTCTGTATGATCAATTTTTTCCACACCTTTTTCTTTCTTTACATCAGTGTGAATATTGTTCTTTTCATCTATAAGTGGAGTTAAAAAATTAGAGACAGTAGCAGTATGTAACACTAAAATATTACTTTTTAATTCTGTGTTTAAATCGGACATATTATTATCGTTATTGTCTAACTTCAGCATATTATGAATTAGCATTCGAGAATCGGCATAATTAGTATGAACATTTATTAATTCAGGGTGAAGTTTGATAAAATCATTATGTACTAAACTTAAGTTATCACATCTGATTGTATGTTTTATTTCTTCTTCGCCACTACATACTTGAAGTGACAAATTACACTCAGGCCCTATTCGATTATTTTCTTTCGTATACGAAATATTACTGTGCTCATCAATTTCATTAAATTCCTTATCAAGAATATTAATGTCTTTCTCATCACTTATATTTTCGATATCAATTTCCAACTTTCGGCAATCATTTTGTTTGACAGCGGTTTTAGTTATATTGTAAGATTTGTCACGTTTACTTGAGAAGCTGGAATTATCAAAGTACTTTAATATTTCCTCCGTATTTATTTTGTTAGATAGCTTGGGTTTAATATCTAATTTTGTTATTTCTATCTTAGGTGTTTTTTCAGTCCATGTTGGCTGATCTCTTAAAAGTGGCTTTTTATTTTCCATGAAATATTTATTTATCTTCAATCGGGCACGTTCGGTTGATAATGGTTTAAGCTCGTTCTTTACAGCCTTATTTCTGGCCTTTCGTTGTTTCAAATCTTGTTTTAGCTTATCAAATGAACTTTCGCAATTAACGAAACTCGGGACAACATATGAGTTCTGTGGTGGCAACAATCTCGAAGTTTCTACAGAAACTTCTTCTAATTCTTCAAACTGTTTCTCTTGCGTTGGAGAAGGTGATGTCACCGTTACAATTGGGCATACTAATTCCCGTTGCATATTTGCAATAACTATTGGTATTATTGTTAGTGCATTGATTTCTTTGTCAGTAATATCATTAAATTCCATATTATCACTGTTATTACTTAACTTAACATTTTTGTTAATAATAAAATCTTCACTTTTATTAATAACACTGGTATTTTTGTATTCATATCTCTCTATTTCTACGGGTAAATTTGATTCTAAGAATTTTATTGAATTATTCATGCTATTACTGATGACTGAATCGTCATACAACATTTCAGTTGATTGATAAATCTCTGATGATGAGGAAGATAATGAATTTCTACTTTTGCTCAAAGAAGTAATTTTATCAATAATTAAGTTATTCTCGCTATCAGATATTATGAAATTCTTATCGATTTCAACGCAAGATGTAGCATTTGAAATCCTCGCAATTTGTTTCAAATTACTTTGATTATCCTGTGCAAAGTCTTTTTTCTGATCATCAGAAGCTAACGCAGAATTTGTAATTATACTGTTTACATCTACAAAGTCATCGGCGTTTATAGTAAAATCAGTTGGAGTTAAATCGAAATTTATGTTATCATAAATTACTTCATTTCTTAAACTCTCACGATTAAAATTATTATCTTGATTACTTAAATTAAAAAAAAAACTTTTATCTACAAAAATTTCATACTTAGAATCCTTATCTTCTTTAGTTGAATAATTATTGGCGGTAATATTTATCAAAGGAACTAAGAATTCATTTTGGTTCGAAACATTATCGTCATTATTTGACATTAAAGAATGCATTGAACCAGTCGCATTAATTATACACTCAGAAGCTTGTAAGTTAATATTAGAAGATATGTCATTTTCATTGGTAGAAATAACATTATCCTGATTGCACGTATTTATACTCAAATTACTAGAATTTGACTCAATCTCTTCAGGAAATTCAGACGGTTTTTTGTGATCGTTTCTATTATGCAAACAGTTATTTAAATCCATATTCGACGATATTATCTTAAAGTCTGAGAAATGAATGATTCTTGAGTTGCAATAAGATCTATAGGATCTAGAAAATTGTTCACCTCTGTTTCCGAACCGGTGTCAGTGTCAGAGTTGCGTGGTGGCATTTTCAACCATACTTCTTTTTTTCGGAGTTCTCGTGCACGCACATCTTCTTCATCTTCGGTCGCCGTTTCACTTTCATCATCTAACAGATAGAAATTAAATTACATTATATAAAATCACAATAGTATGGAAAAGTAATATGACATTCCAATATTTCAAAAAACTACGAATGTTAAAGAAAAATATGTATTTTAGACAAGTCATAAAATATGTTTCACTTATCAGTTGCGTTCTCAAGTAGCAGAATAACATTAGAAGATGTCATATTGACGTCTATTTTTAGTAATTTTTCGCGTTGTTGATTAATGAACATTTATCGATTAAGATACATTATTTTATAGACCAGTTAAAGACGCCTTATTGAAGATAGCTAACGGACCAAAGGAGGGAGACTAAAAATGGCCAATTTTGGCCATGAACGGATATCTTTAAAACTTATACAATTATCATTTTGAAAGTCGATACATTCATGAAAGAAAGCTTATTTACCCAAGGGCAGTGATGCCAGTGATGGCACCGAGTCACAGCGCACACAAGCGTCGCGCGGCCGTGCGCAGCTTTGGCCGTCTGATTCGAGCCGACGTAACCGCTGTCTCTCCCTTTCGACGAGATAGCTATAGTAATAGCCGCAATTAACAATAGCTGTTGGAAAGACAGCGGATACGTCGGCTCGCATCGAATCAGCCCAAGACAGCCGGAGCTGCGCACAAATATTGACTCCATCTCCGTCGCGCGCAGATACCGCGATTATCGGTTCGTTCGCACGTCCGTGTGAAAAATTAATCTATTATTTGCGAACGATACAAGCTGTACACTACTTATATATTATGTAAATATATACATTTCTATATTGATTATACAATTATTCATTAGTATTAATTAATAATTAACTAATTATTTGTAAATAAGAGGCTAATTTTTTAGAACGATTATACAAAACGTCCAAAAATTTTCTCCACATCCGTAGTATGTAAGTAGAACGAATGAACAGAAAAGTCATGTACAATGTTGCAAAATTCGTAATAGTTAATTAGGAATTAAATCTATATGAGCTAGTGAGCGCATGGAAAGCGGTACGCCGAATTCTGTATAAAGAGAAATAGCTTTTTTCTGTAACCTCCTCAATCAATAATGAGTATCAATATGCCTCTCACTATCGGTTGATACCTATCGTTGCTAAGAGATTTTCAAAAGTAAGCCTTTTTCTTCTGCACACTACACATATAAAGAAAATTTTCCGATATTTTGTATAAATCTATATGTATGATTTTCGCAGTAAAAAGGTCAAAATATATAATAGTATACTATAATACATACATTATAGCAGTTTACAAACTATAATATATAATAGTGTATAAAGTAGTATATAACATAAAGTTATAAAAACGGAAATTTATAAAGTAAGTATACACGAAAAAGTTAGAAATTCAGTAACTTACAAATTTTTTAAATTGATTGAGTCATACCTTCATTAGTGTATTCGTCACTAGACTCTTCATATTCGTTGCTACCAGTGTCAGATTGTCCAATTGTTGCATATGGATGGGAATAACGCAATGTCCAATTCTTAGCCAATTCAAGGGTTCCTTCAGTTGTTAGCGGTTGATCTATAGCTTCCTCGAATATTTCATTATCCTCATCAGAATCGCTACAAACATACAATAATGTCGGTTATTTTCAATAATTACGGAATTAAAAATATAAAACTTTTATTCAAGTAAATGTCAATAAAATATTTCCTTCTTTTCCTAATGAAGATATTTAAATTGATAAAATATTCAATTTTTCTAAATTTATTTATCTCTCACCTTGTATAGTCTATCTCTTCTCTCTTGTATTAGAAATGATAAAATTAACATAATAAGGAAATTAAATACTAAAATAGATACAGTTATGTATCAAATACAAGTAGAAATGGCTGATTAGTAAGTAATAAGTAGGTTAAAGTTACAAATTTGCATTAGCACTACTCAAGGTAGATATAAGGATCCCGCGGTTCATCAATCCCGTAATATTTTCTAACTTCAAACCCTTTCTGCTGTGTACGTGCGTGCGTGCGTGCGTGCGTGCGTGCGTGTTTGTGTGTGTGTGTGAAATGGAAGCTATAAAGATAAATAAAGTAGAATAATATGTAATTAACAATATGACTTGCCTTATTTCAGAAATTTCTTCACTGGACCCCATTTCCGCAGTAGAAGCACCAAAATTCCTATCCGTCCATTCGTCTTCATCCATTTGGCTGTGAGCTTCTTCGGGATCTAAAATTCCTGCTAAATTTTCAAATTCTATTCTCTCAGGAGTCTGTCCACGATCAAGAAGATCTAAGCCAGCAACACTTTCCAATGATATTTTAGCCTGAAAACATATATATATATATATAAACGCAAGAATTCTTGACGTGCATTTTCTCGCTTCTGATATCGTCAAACAAGGATAGTTGCAGCGATTACCCAGAAGCTTTAACAATATACATATGAAAAAAATCATAAACCATTATAATATAACCATATTCCTTGCGGTTATATTGCATTTTCGTGAAACATTCGTTTACATGGCTAAAAAGTGCGTTATTTTAACGCTATTGCTTTCGAGTGACCTAAACGGAATTTAATGTTTCTAATGAATATAACTGCCGATAATTTTAAGCAATGGTTTTAACATAAATACCATATTACAAATCTGTTCCATATTTTTACATCCTTTCCCCTATAATAACATCTCAATAATGGTTCCTAAGAATATCATATCGTCTCAAAATTTTATAAGAGGTCATTTCACTAATAGAAATCATGTCTTCTTATTGAATTCGACACATTATAACTCCATTATTAAGCGTTATATGAAATTATATACCTTTTCTGGTGTTCTTGAAGTAATTGCAGTATTAGGTTCATTTTCTTTATTTACCGAATTACTTTTCTTTTTCTCCACTCTAGTTTTCATCGTTCCTAATAATCCAAAGTGTTGTGTACAATAAAAGCGTCCTCCGTTCTTTTCCCGATCAAATGTATGGTTTCCTATAAATAAACAGAACCAATTTTACAATATTATATAATGTAATATAATTAAAGTATATTATGTAAATTGTTTAACACCTATTTATATTCACAATTTATGCATTTGAAGTATATACAAAAATTATTGCACTCTACGTATAATTTAACTTATAGCATTATGATATTTGTATACATTATCATGAAATGTACAATCTTTCTCACAAAAAATAGTATTTTTTTCTTTAATTCAAGACGGTCGACCGTAGCACCATCTGCTTTTGCACAGTATATAGTTTGTCATCATTCCGATCGTTTTGTTACAGTGAAAATTTTCAAAATGAATGCAAAGTATCTCAAACATTACGAAGCAGTATTTTGCATGCAAAAAGACTAAGTATACTTAGGCTTCAAATGGCTTGAAAAGTCAAAATCATTCGTCCATTTTTCAATAAAATTATTATGCAAGAAATATTTTGTGGAATTATATATTCAGATAATAAGATTAGGGCATATCATTAAGGAAAGAAGAAAAATATTACCTATTCTTAAAGAAATGGAACAATATTCACATCGGAAACAACCGCGATGAAAGAATTTTCCCTCTGCAGTAAGTCTCTCCATTAAATAAACCCTTTTATTGCAAAAATGACATATCTCCGAACCTCCTTGGGCCGGTAGTGCGATGGCAGGTTTAACTTTCTGAAAAAATAATGCGTACCAATTGATAAATAAGTATTAACATATCATGTTTTGTAATATGAAACATATTACATTAGAAGTTTTAAACTCATATAACACATAATATATACACGACATATAAATATACGATTTCAATCAAATAGAAATAAGTTTAGATTTTTGTTTATTAACATTATAATATCTGACTATAATTAGTTACATCCGCTTATATCAATTAATTATAATTCTGTTAATAATATATGTACAAAACTCTTTAATATTGCGTATTGCGTTATAAACACTTATTAGTCATATATAATAAGATAGAGAGATCAACATATAACGTATAATGAGTTATATATTAAGAACACGCGAGGTTTGGAAAAATAACGGGCTCTTCTTTATACATAATATTGGATTGTCCAGAAAGTCCGTGTGGATTTTTAAGTAGACGGCGTTCAAATGTTAATTTTAGAAGGTTAGTTTAGCGCAATGCGTCAAATGCGTATGTTTGGTAATTGGCGACGCATATTTTATGATAATAATTGTGATAAATAAAGATACTTCTCTTGACATCAGCTTGAAAATAGAAGGAAATATTTTTTCGGCCCATAACACTTTTTTTATTTCTTTAAGGGCAAAAATGCGACGCAAACTTGAAATAAGATATGCGCCGTGTACGATGCTGTAAGCGAACGCATATGTCAGAAATGGTTTGCCAAATTTTGTTCAGGAGAAATGGATATCGAAGATGCTCCTCGCTCTAGTCGGCTAGTTACTACGATGTCGACAAAATAACGATTTTAATCGCTTCTGATCGGCAAATAACAACTTGCGAAATCGCTGCGAGGTTAAAAGTTGGCAAAACAACTGTTTCGGAACATCTAAGCGGACTTGGAATAGTAAAGAAGCTCAATGTTTGGGTGCCATACAATTTGACTGAAAAAAATGTCATGGATTTCCACCTACGATATGCTATACAAACGCAACAAATTTAAATTGGTCGGACTATAACAAAGAGTCAACTATAGTAGACGTAGTGTAATAATAAAACAAAAAAAAATTTAAGAAAACACAGAAAGACCTATATGAGCATAAGGCTGGTGCGTTGGTGAGAATAATTTTCTATGGGAAGATAATATGTTTGACAATATTATCGCACGCGCTGACGGATTTACTAGAACTTTAAACGTATATGCGGAGAGTCTCCTTTCTACTTCAAATCGACACTATATTCCAAATATTAATTAAATTCCCAAACCATTAATAATTAATAAATTCGTGCGTGACTCTTTAACAAGTTTCGAAAAATATTGCCTTAGCCAAGGATTGAACTTGGACTTCCTCATTTGTCGGGTGGAACACCTTACTAATTCAGCTACTTGAAAAGGGGGAAGAATGTTAAATAGAAGTTGAAATAAGAATTTTTCTATTATTGCCCTACGTCTACGGTGTTTAACTTTTCATGGCTCGATATTGGCAAGTTTGTATCAATTTACTCTTCATATTCTTAAGTCAGGAATTTCACTGTAAATCATCCAAAAATACACTATAACGATTGTTAACATTTCTTTGTATGATTTTGTGAATGAAATAAAGTTCTTGCAAAACGGTAGATGAGTTATAATAAACATTGGTATATCCTATAAATTTCTGATATTTCGCAATTTTTCACAATCGTAAAAGTCGTATTTACCGATTTCTGCATCTTGGGCTCTGCATCCTGATTTTTATTTGAAAATTGCTCAGCCATGGCTGAAACTTTATTGTAGCCAAGCGCACTACCTTCTTGGATTTTCTTGCCTATACTCTTGAGAGTATTGTCAATATCAGCGTACTTACTGTAAGTATCTTTTTGATCGTTGCCCCGCTTTTCCATTTTGATCTGCCGAGCTAAAAACTGAATAAAACATATACACATCTGAAAAAAGTGTAAGAATATCAATGCTATTGAGTATTTTGTGCCAACCTGCTCGCGACTCCATTTCGGCACTCTTTCAATACGATCGTGGCGCACACCGCGGCCCATCTTATTTTCTTCGATTTTCTTCTCAATTTCCTTTACGTTCCAGTCAGTTTTTTCGATTTTACCTATACAAAGAATGTTGTATCATATTAGTCTGTAGCACACAACATAATATTACATCCCGAATGATCTTTTAGATCATTAAAACATTAAATTCTCATATCATTGTCTTCATGGATTTTTTAAACCTTATTTTTGAATATTTCTTTACACACACACACGCACACGCACGCACGCACGCACGCACGCACGCACGCACGCACACACACACACACACACACACACACACACATTTACATATATACATTTATATACATATAAAAGACGTCACAAGAGAGATATATAAAAACGAAAAGTATACAAACCAATGGCACGTAAAAGATCCCTAGGTTTCTTCTCAGAGGATGCTGTTCCTTTTAATTTATCCTCAAAATTTCTTATTCTTCCCGAGAAGTCTTCATCCACGCTACCTCTTCGGTAGCTAATGTGTATTTTGGATTCTCTATCCTAGGAACAATGATTATATAATTGAATATGAATCTCTTATAAACAACAAACTAGCAAACTGTTAGGAAAAATTAGTACAAACAGTATAAAACAGCACATATAAATCATAGACATCATGTCGACGTTTAGCGTAGATCAGCATATAACGATAGTAAAATAAAGCCTTATTATTATAATCGTAAAAGCCTAAAGGATCACAATAATGAAGTGATATATCTAACTAAATTCAGAAATCAAATTTTTCTTTTGACAAAATTGAAATTTTAATCCATTTGAAGAATTGTTACTAAAATCTCTTTAAAAGGATGTTGGAAAAAAATAAGCAAGCAAATAACAAATCGCAAAGTAATTGATTTCAAAAATACATTTTTTGTAACAAAAATATTGAGGTAGGATTATCAAAAATAAATATACTCAAATATATTTTACATGGCATCATGACGTTTCTCAATATAAGATATGAAATGTCTCATCAAAATGAAATATAAAATATTTCGGAAAATATCTATTTTCTCTTGGTAATCTTACCGTAGTTTACATTTACATACAGAATAATCAGAGAAATCAATTTATGTTAAAAACAAAACATATGATTCCATTAAAAAAAAAAAAAAAAAAACGAAATTCACGTCTCCTCTACACCTCCACCTGTAAAAAATTATTGATATCAGATTATGTTCTCCTTAAAACCATTTAAACTTTTTCTAAAATATTTTTCGATACCACTAATGATTTCGAAGATAATATGGATCATATGGATCGATTTAAATAGAACACCTCATATATTGCATGTACACGCGTGCATGTGTACATGTGTGTAAAAGGTATTTGACGATAAATATGTCCTCTTATAATGTAAATTGATGCACAAACTGAACAAAAAACTCATCTATCATTTTGCAAACAAGAGTAATTTTTTTAATTATTAGTTACAGGAAATTGACAAATGATCAGGAACGACCGCCAATCATCAATCAGTGAGAGACACGGTAACGTTGGAAGTGGTGAGTGACGCAGTTCAAGCGTACCTTTCCACCACATCTACGTACACTCGAGCTTTGTTGTATTTATATCGTTAGATATATGTGTGTATATACTCACTTTGAATATTTTTATGATGAAGTTAAGAATGCATCGAATGATTACATTTGCGAGTCATGGACCTGCGCTAATCGGTTATGATAAAAATCAATATATGACAATAGACGGTGTATATATATATTCTATGTCACTCTCTTATCTGATAAATAAAAATAAAAATATTTACGTTTTTCCTAAAGTTTCAGAGTTGCAATTACGACGTTGGATATCGAATAGATTATCAGCAGAGAGGGTTTGGAGTCAGAAAATACTACGGGAGTGACGAACCGTGGGGTTCTTACCATATCTACCTTAGGTAGTGCTGTCGGCGGCATACTGCAACTTTCAAGCCTTATAACTCGAAAAGTATTTAATGCAAAAATATTTCATTATAGTGTTTTGAAAATTTCTCAAGACAGGCTATAAAAATATGCATATAAAAAGTATGAGTTTCCGTTTAAGAAAGTGAAGGTGACTTTCATGTGACCTTCAAAAGACTATCAAAGATCAAACCAATGGCACCATCTTATGTTCCTCTCCAAACCATAGAACCTTTGTCCAAAAAATTTTTTCCATTGACGCATCGTTTTCAAAATATTTGAGTGTGTAAGTTAAAATGGCACACCCTGTATAACATTATTTTGCTTGTATGGGTTATGAGTACAATTAGGCGGTAATTATCACATTTATTCGTTACACCTTTTTTATGGGCGGTGATAATTATAGTCGTAGTCCATTCCTTTGGCCATTCTAACGTGCGCCAGATTGTTTGGCAAATTCGGCGGATCATGTGAATTCCTTTAGTTCCCATACATGTGTATTTGTTTATGTACGGTATTTGTAGCTCAACCAGCTTAGAACTAACTCTAACCATCTCAACTCGAACTGCTAGTTTAGTAAATTATTGTTTCTTTGAAGCATATTTGCTAAAAGCGAAGTATATTTACCGAAGTAATGATTGGAATTCAAAAAGTAAAACATTGTAAAGCGAATTTATCGCTCTTTCAAATGGTATGTTGCTAGACATCCCTAGCCATTTAAAATTTGTATGATGAAATTAACTCCTCTTATGGGGTTGAAATTTGGCGAACGAAAATAGCCGATTAACACGTACCCCCTTGCAACTAAAGTCGACATATCCGTGTATTTTTCGAACAAATTAAATTAAATGCCACAAAACACGCTTGTTTCGTTTTCGGAGGTCCATCCTTTGTGTGTGTGTGTGTGTATGAGTGCGCGCGCGCATATATATACAGTTTTTATGACTTTATATGTTCGAAAATATGCAAATCTGCCCGTTTTTTCATTAGAAATAGGTAAATAAAAAAAATTACTGTCCTGATTACAAAAGCTAAGTTTTCAGGAAATAATAGCAATTTTCTATAGTTTTTGGATATAAGCAATCAGAATACGATACTTACTATCCAGGAACAAAAATTGTGTTACACAATTTTTACAATGATGAAGTAATTGCCGCTGTAAACGAGTATTTTGCAGGATTTGATCAAATCTATTTTACTTATGGAATGAAGGGACTAGAAAAGAGATGAACCAAGTGTATCGAGCTAAAAGGAGAGCAGATAGAGAGATAAAACCGATTTCGCCTAAAAATATAAGTGTTTCAGTGTTAAGCTCGAGATTTATCGAACAACCTTCATATATCTATTTATCTCAAGACCTATAGATTAAATTTTTATCATAAAAGAATATATAAAGCAGATTATAAATTTCCTTAAATTTATATTAATAATTAAAAAATTTCATTAATCAAACTTCTTGTTAATTATTATGAGTTAATAATTTACACAACCAACAATTTTAGTAGTAATCGTATTAATAGGGAACACTGTTTTATCATGCTGAGTATGTTTTTAAAAAGAGTGCGATACTATTTTGAAAGAAAGAACGCACACCAGACATGATCAAATGAAAAAAATGTCATCAAGCATCTATATTCATTGCTGATGTTTAGCTTACTGGATAAAGAATTTTTTGTTCTAAATCTTTCACTCGGTCCTTAAAATCGGGTGCAGTTTGGCGGTACAATGAAATTGCATAATCCTCAAAGGGCTCATTTTTTTCGCGTTTTGCGTTGCTCTGTAGCATTCGCATACTTTTGTAGAATTGTTGGATGGCCATTTGACGTAAGTATTGTCGTTTCTTCATGCGCTCGTTTCGATGTTTCTCGATTTCATCAAGCTTTTTTTGTGTTTCATCCTTTATTGAAGTTTAAAATTGCCATTAATTGTATAACTTACGAATCATATGAATACTAATCTTCTCTTCGCAATAAACTACATAATATATCTTTATACTCAAACAGATTATTACGAATAAAATGATGCTACTACAAAGAAAGAGTAAATCAGCTGTGATAATGATATATATGAGTAAAATATTCGCTGCAATTCTTAGATCTTTTGATTATTTAGAAAAAACCTTTATATAAAGGAACATAATGAAGAGATCTCCAAATAGATTATAACCAATTATTTCGTGATTTTAGACTTGTTGTTAGATCTTCTCTTCCTTTTTCTCTCACACGCATACTAACTCTCACATATCCACACCCATATGCATACGCACAAATTAATTTTGCGTTTTTGTGCCTTTACGCGACCTAAAAAATCATTTTAAATTTAAATATTTTTTTCGCCCTTTATATTTTAAAAATATTGACATTGATGTATACAGGGTATTCCATTTTAATGACAACCTCAAATGTATCTGAAAAATATCAGAATAAACAGTAAAATATCTCGACAAATATTCTCTTTTGAATCATCTTACTCTAGTATTTTTATACGCACAATAAATAGAGCAATTGATTTGTGTAAAAGAACTATACGATTCCATTTAAAATTGACCTTCATTTGACATTAACGCCTCCACTCAAAGTCAAACTGATAAAATCAGTAAATAGATTTTTTCAACACTCTAACTTTAATATGAAACATTTTTCTTTAAAATGCATTGTTCAAGAGATATTTGGGATCGTCATAAATCGTATCGATCGTAAAATGGGACATCCTATATATACAACAAAGGGTAATAAGAGAACCATCGTAAGTATTTTTCATCAATTTTGATAACCTTTGAATATATTTTAAAACAGTAAAACATATTAAAGACGTC